GTCAGTTTATTATATGTTTCTGTTTTGTTTTTTTAACAGACGGACTGTCTGAACCTCATGGTAGAAAATTGTTTGCATTTTGCCAACAATATTGCATTGATGATTTAAATAAATATTCCAATAGATTATTGCAATAAAAAAAATGTACCGAGGGTAATTTTAGTTTTCAAATTTTTCACACCCTCCGAGTTTCCAGGTATAAAAAATAGACACATATAAATAGGGTTGTGAATCAAGCATAAAGTTTTTTATTTTGATTCCTAGAATGCCGACGGAAGAGGAATACACGGCCGATCTCCGTGAAAAATAAACGTGATCTGCAAATTGTGATCAAGGCTTTTCAGAGCTGATCACACCAGCTGTCTGTGTGCAGCACGAGTCCCCCCTCCCTGCCCCCACCCCACATGCAGCGGCCAAATATAAACAAACGCGTCTGCCGAACATGTACTCTGTAATGTAAACTTTAACTCCTGCAGCGTAGAGGAAACGTGTTAAAATACGTCAACACGGTGGATTTAATAGAAGCTTTAAAGAACAAACTCTGGACGGTGTGAGGTGAGTTTGCCTCACTGCAGAAATAACAACACACACGGAGCGTCAGCAGTCAGACGCAGCTGCTCAGCAACACTCGTGTGTGAGCGTGAGTGTCAGAAGGCTGAACAATAACCTGTAGAATAATTAAAGTCATCATGCTAGGGCAGCTTCTCTGTGGTGGACCACACCAGCTCCTGCCACAATAAATAATTATAATAATAATAATAACAAATCAAACACAAAGTTGTGAACATTTTAATTTCCTTTCTGAACTATTTCTGTTGAGTTTTAATGTTTAAAATCTTAGATTGTTACCATTGACATATAAATATTGGACAATGGGTTTCCATAGGCTCCAATAACACGTTTTTGATCCCAAATGGGAGGTGGCCACCACCGCCATTTTGACCGTGTCACAGGTTCCGTCAAGCCCAGACAATTCCACAAAAGTTAAGAGAGGTGGAGCTGAGGGTGGGGCTGTAAGGCTGGGATCAACTGACGACACCCGGTCGAACTAGCTACAAGCTAACCTGAAGCTAACCCAAAGCTAACGCGGAGGTGGGAGCTAAGCTAACGGAGGTAGCAACCTAGCTACAATCGGAGTTAACGGTGCACAACACCAGAGCTTCTGAGTCAGAGATACGCTGGGCTTGACCGCTGGGTAAAACCGGGTGGAACACAGCGGTCTCCGAGAGCTCCACAAGCCGGCAGCCGCACAGCAGACATGCGCCGCTGCGATCTGAGATGCGCAGAGCTGCCGCTGGGGAGAACCGGGCGGAAAGGTTTCCATCCCAGAGCTCCACAAGCCGGCAGCCCGCGCATCAGTCAGGAGCCGCGATCAGACAGATGCGCCGAGCTGCGGGGAGGGGAGAACCGGGTGGAAAACATCGGTCTCCCGAGAGCTCCACAAGCCGATAGTCGGAACCCAGCTCCACCAACATGTTATATTTCAACCCATTTTCTAAAGTGCAGCATTATGTTAAATGCACTGGGTTTTACCCTATTACATTTAAATTTCATGGTTAAACAGTACATGTTAAAATCTAAGTTCAGCTCGGCAGTGACCTAAAATACATAAATATAATTTTACTTACCGAAAAAAATGAAGTGGAGACTCCTTGGACGCTCTATTAGTGCAATTAATGCCACAGCAAGTCATTTTGTCCAACAATTGCACAAATAATATCCAAACAAGAAACACAGAGACTCAAAATCCCGGAGCAGTTTCCAGGCCAGACCGATGCTCTACTGAGGCCTTTCCACGGAGCTAGCTCTGTGGTCACGTGGGTCTGATGCTCATTAATTATACAGAATTTTAGGCTTTTAATACACTTAAACAGAAGAGTGAGAAAAACATTCACCCCCCTCAGAGTTGTCATGAGTGTAAACTAGATCATTTAAACCAAAAACATGTTCTGGTACCAGGCTGTAAACATGTTTATTTCTGCTGTGAAATTGGTATTTTTAACATGGGAGTCAATGAGGATTTGCTCACTTCTGACACCAGCCCCTAGTGGATGAGGGTGGAACTGCAATTTTTAGTACTTCCGGGATTACTTCAATTTTTGAGCCTCATTGTGGGGGCTTGATTGTTACTGACAGCAGCTACGTTTAAGTTTCACTTCCTGTTCTGACTGAACGCTGCTGCAGCATGGAGGTGTAGTTCTCAGTCATCCTGGACATGATCATCCTGAGAGTTGTAGCTGAAAACAGCTGGACGTTTCTGGATCTGTTGGAGACATTTAGCCTCTCATCCCAGAGGCTGCTTCCACACTTTGGTTGTGGTCAGAAACAAACACACTGGTTGTGCTGCAAGTCTTTTCCTTTTTTCTCCAAATCACGTTTTTGTCTAAATGAAGGTGATGTTGTTGTTCATAGAATTAAAATTCATGCTGAAGTTAAGATTATTTCATCAAGTAGGACCTGTGGTTAGCTGGCTCATGTACAGCATGTCATGTCTTCAAAGAACCGGAATCGGGAATCAATAGGAACTGGAATTGAAACTAGGAATTGGAATCGGAATCATTCAAAATCAAATGAGGCCCAACCCTAGTTATAAACTAATAAAATAACAATATTTTGGTCTTCTGGGCCAGCGGTTTGCTTGTGTTTTCGTACCGCGTGACTTTACCTACTATAGCTACAGCCTTTCCGTCCCAGACGTGATGTATCCCGCCAATAGATGAAGTGGAAAATGAAGCAATGAAGTATTAACAAATGTATACACGATTGTTTAATGGTTGATTAGTTCATTGTGATGAAGTCATAATTTTATTTTAGAAAGTCTTTAAAAGTTTTCAAAGTGTATTAAATTTTATTTTGAGATCCCTGCATATTCTCTGTAGAGGCAATTTGCAATATTTAAGTGAATTTTCAAATGAATGCAAATGTTTTTCAGTGTCATTTAGTAATGCATGCTTCGTCACATTGGATCAAGTCTTCACTGCAATATGAAAAATCATCCAGAACATGGATGTAGACAAAGAAAATCCTCGTCACATGATAGAGAGTGCTGGTTTTGAGCATGAAAAAGACCTGTGTAGTGAGGCTGTGGTGGTTTATTATTGGGGAAGCAGCATATGGAGGTTCTGGGTGACGTTTGGGGGATGCTGGTTACATTGTCTCTATGGTATGGGGCCCAGGTTTGGTCTTTAGCTGCAGCTGAGCGTTGCCAGAAGGAGCTGTGCAAGGACAAGGCTTGGAGAGTGGTGTGATCCTGAGTTTACTTGGTAGGAGCATCATGAGATCATGGTTCTGAACATGGTGAGGAGTCTCAGGAAAACAAAAACAACCAGGAGAAGCTCTATTTGGGAATTACAAAAAAGGTAACAGCATCACAGTTTTCCTCACACTTAAGAAGGTTTTTCTAATTTGTTGAAAAAATTATTTTCTGATTGTCACTTAAAGCTTCTATCCAGTTTTCCCCTTTTAGGAATTATGTAGGATCTTTTAGAAATGCATAATAGTGATGGTCTTTTCATGTACTGTGATGTAATGTAGGAAATACGTCTTTTTTTTTTTTTTTGCTAAGCCCGCCCCCTGTCCCTTAGAGCTCAATGCAATATGAACCAATAGAATTAGACTACCACCTAAGTACAGACATTAACCACAGAGCATGCTCGAACATTTAAGGACACACCTTGGTTGATGCCGACTTGGCGGCCTTACTCATGAACAACTAAGTCTTTAAAACATAAGAACGTGGACACACAACATGTTGAAAGTCTGCCAGTGCTCAGTGTGGGGTAATTGTTTCATAAAATCCTATTGTGTGTATGTGGAAATTGTTTGCAGCATTTTGTTTATTGCATTTAAAATCTCACGTTTTGCATCTTTTTGTGCTGCCATGTGGGTCTTTACTGCTGCAATAAACATTCCAAATTTTAATACAAACTTCCAGTTAGTTTTCTGCCAGAAATCAGATGCTGCAATGTCCCTTATTGTGATGTCACAATAAGGGACATTAGCTTAGACCCCACCACCGGTTGACGCTTATATATGCTTATGCTCTGGACCAGTGTTGGGAAAGTTTGTTAAAAAACTAACTAGTTCAAAGTTCAGTTCATACATTTTAAAACGAACTAGTTTGTTTCTTAGTTCATAATTTAAACATTTTGAACTAAGTTTACTGTTCCACAAACGAACTAGTTCATAGTTATTTTTTTCTCATATATATATATATATATATATATATATATATATATATATATATATATATATATATATATATATATATATATAAATAAATAAAATGGGAAATTATTAAACAATCTTAGGAGGCAGGCTGAGCTAAACTCAAACTGCAATATTAAAAGTGCAAAACATTAAATGTATAATCTTTCAGTTAAGTCCCATTTCAATTTTTCTGAATGAACTTTGACTCCTGCTGACAGCGTAGACATAGAAGGGTAGACGCCGCAACAACTGCTACTGCCTTTGGCCTCATTTGCGGGTTCTACGTTTTATAAACTCTATGGTTAACAGGAAGTTTTAGCTAGGCTTTAGCTCCAGAAAAGCTCCATGGAGATCTGGAGCTAGAACGGCGAAAGAACGCGTTCATAAACCCGTTCACGCACACCAGGATGAACACTTTTACGTTCGTCAGGCAAAATACGAACAAGTTCAGTTCACGTTCATGAAAAAACGAACAAATTCACGAACGATTGTTCAGTGAACGCGTTCGGGCATGCGTAGCAGCAGCTCTACACCAAGCTCCCCCCAGATATCCAGGCTTCACGTCTCTTAATAACCAATCAGGGGATGTGTGGGTGTGGCCAGCAGCAGCTTATTGTCTTCAAATGACAAAACCCTGAAACGGCTCATTTTGGAAAGTGCTGAACTGAAAATGGTTTATGTGAGAGGGATTTGGTGCGGAGAATGTCATGAACAAGTTTTGTGTTAACCGTAGAACTATTATAACTTTTTAAAAAAGGTATAATACGTTTCTTTTAAAATCAAGTAATTTTTGCCTAGATGGAATCAGCTTCCTCGTGACCTCAAATGTGCCCAACACTAGTGACTTTAATCGAAATTGAAAACTTTCATGTATTCATCTGCCTTTGAATGAATGTTTCTTATGCTGCACCTTCTGCACTGTAACTGCTCATGTTTTAACATTGCCTTTTGTTTGATTCTTAACTTTGAATTTAATTTGTGTATTTAATCTGACTTAAATGTATTTAACTATGCTGTCACGTTCATTTTGTTGTTCTAGCTCCTGGAAAGCACATTGAATTTCCTGTGTGAATGAAATGTGCCATACAAATAAAGCCGCCTCGCCTTGCTTGCTTCAGGCACCCTTTTTATGGATCTGAACCAGCTTTAATGTGTTCAGCCCTCTGGTCAACATCTGTGTTTTAAAAGTACTCGTGAATTTGATTTGACTTAATGAACATGAAATAAAAGCAGAACTACATTATAATAGATTGTGCTAAAATATGTTGTTGTCCTATCTCTATCAGCTGATTTCAGCTGTGAGAATATTCAGCCACACGGTGGTTCGGGTTTGTTTGTTTTGCAGAGTGCCAGCAGCAGCTGCATGAGTGCACAGGAGTCGTATCAAAACAGATGAAACAGATTAATACACCACGTTGACTTTGGGTGGTTTCCCTGCACATTTTTGCTTATCTAATCATCTGTTCTAATCCTCTGTATACCCTTTGTTTGTACTGTGAATGAAGTGTAAAGTTTAAAAATAGTTGCCATAAAGCATAAATTTCACCTCACCCTTACCATTCTTGCTAATGGAAGCATGCTGCATTCTGCTTCGCTGGAAAGAAATGCAGCAAGGTTCTGTCTGGGTTTTCTTAGTGCTAAAACAACGTCTGCCTTTTCAGTGACTGAAAAAATAAATCAATAAAAAATGTTTCTGCTAATTATGAAATGTGAAACCACCGATTAATATTTGTGTTACTTGGACGTGTTGATATTTTCACAAAATGTTAAAGTTTCCTGACCTTTAGTTAAGTACAAGCGGCTGTGTCGCTGTTCCCTGTGGATCAGGCTGAATGTGAAATAGGTGAAACTGCTCTGAACAGCACGATTTCTGAAAGCTCTTTCTTGTGTTCTTGTAGGGTTACTTACGCCAGTGTAGGAAGCGTGTGGACATGTTCAACGACGACCAGCTGAAGGTCATTTTTGGAAACATTGAGGACATTTACCGCTTCCAGATGGGTTTTGTTAGAGATCTGGAGAAACAGTACAACACAGAAGAACCACACCTCTCTGAAATTGGGCCGTGCTTTTTAGAACACGTAAGTATTTTCAGTTCCCCTCCAGATGAATTTAAAGCAATAAAAAAATGACCTAAAACCTGCTGTCCATCCAGCAGCAACAGTAACTGCCAATAATTGTGTTGGGTTTGTAATCTAAAGATCTGAACTAAACGAAATCTTGAGACAGCAGCTTGGTTTGGGAGGTAATTAAAGGACCAGCAGACAGGTTAAGACAAATGATGAGTGGGCCATGATCCTGAGAATAAATATTTTTATGAACAGTTTAAAAATCCTTATTATTTATTTGTAGAAAATGTATTTCTAATCAGTCGTTCTACTATTAACCTGTCTGACCCAAGTCTTTTCTCCTTCGCCCAACAGCAAGATGGGTTTTGGATCTATTCAGAATACTGTAACAACCACTTGGATGCCTGCATGGAGCTGAGTAAACTAATGAGGGACGGCAGGTACCAGCACTTCTTCGAGGCTTGTCGCCTCCTCCAGCAAATGATTGACATCGCTATCGATGGCTTCCTGCTCACGCCTGTTCAGAAAATCTGCAAATATCCTCTCCAGTTGGCTGAGCTTCTTAAGTATACCGCCCAGGAGCACAGGTACTGTCTTTTTCAGTCAAGATGGCGTTAAAGCTTAAATTCTGTTACTGTTTTTATAGGTATTTGTTTGTATACAGGGGAGCTGTTAGTGATGCACCATTGTGCTCCAGATGCATTATGCTGCATTGCAGCGCTTGCAGGTGTTGGGTTGATTCTTCTAATTGTGGCCATCATCCATGCATGAAATGAAGCAAATGTTTTCTGCACTGTTTAACTACTTAGTTCATGTTGTGGAGAATAAAAAAGTGTTTGATATGAGAGAATCGGATGTAATGAATATTAGGTGCAGTTATTAAGCGATTATTTTCATTTTCAAATTAGTGGAAGAGGAGGAGCATATTAAACAGAGAAGTATGGAGCTGCACGCCCGTTTAGGAAGCCGACATAAACTAGTACGTGTGCTTTGCTGCACAAAAGCACACGTGAGCCTCCAGTTGTGCAGACTCACTCGTGTGAGCTCTAAAAAAAAACGATGGTGCAAGTAATTCAGCGTGTCTCTGCCAGCTCCAGTCATTCACAAACCAAGCATTCTCAGCCAGGGAGAGGCAGGTGCCAGCTCTGCCAGAAAGGCCTGCCAGATCTCAGTGTTTCACTGTTTGAGAGCTGTGGAGAATCTGCCAGATATAGGGCTGCCTCACTTATACACACACACACACACACACACACACACACACACACGCGTGCTATCTTCCAAAGTGTGGATTGGATCCACGGCACGTCTAAGCCAGAGGGATAAATCCAGCTCAGTTAGCATAGATGCTGTCAGACTTAATGGCGAATAAAGAAATGGCTGATTAAAATTAAGTAGCTGTGTGCTCATTTGAATGTATTTCAATGGGCTTACTTCAGTTACTTGAGTTTATCACCACTGCCTTTAATGGGCCGCTCAGTATCATTCACTAAAGCAGCATTATATGCCTTTGAGTGGCCAGCCTCCAAGGCTGTAACGTAACCCTCAACACTGTGAAGTCATTACGTATGTGTTGTGTTTGTAGTGACTATCGATACGTGGCAGCAGCCCTGGCTGTAATGCGGAACGTCACTCAACAGATCAATGAGAGGAAGAGGAGGTTGGAGAACATTGACAAGATCGCCCAGTGGCAAGCTTCAGTTCTGGACTGGGAGGTATACTTAACACTGATGATCCTCTCTAATACTCATCCCATTTTTACATTTAACAGCAAAAGAATGCTTTCAAATGTTCAGACTTTCAGACGTACACGTAAACTTTCAGCTTACTTTAAAACACTAAAAGATGATTTGAAAAACCAGAATCGGTGTTATCCCACGGGGCAACTTTAAAGCCTTTCTGCCCTCTGCTTCATAAAAAAAATACATCCTCTGGTCTGTTTTACCTGTTGCTCTCTCTCTCTCTCTCTCTCTCTCCAACCGCAGCAGTGTCTTAGGAAGATTGTTGCATTGTAGCAAAGGAAAGAGGCGCAGTAGAAAAACCTGCTCTTTACAGATTATAAAGTCAATAAATGAATCTTCCAGTTGCTAACCTTATACTGTATAAGTCTGTCTTAGAGTCAACATGTCATCACAGTCATCCTGCATTAAGAAACACTTCCGTAAAGATCAAGTGATTATTGTTTCTGTAAGTTCACCATCACTGACACCAAGTTTTAAATTCATGTCAATAAAAATGTATTTCCTCAAAGATTTAGATCAAAGACAGTTTCATCATGAGGCGTAATCCTCCTAACTCTTAATACCCAGTATGCTCCTAAAAGAGTCTGAATCTAGTGTTATGATTAATGTCCTACACTTGTGAAAGGTCCGCCATAGCCTCAGAAAACACGACATAACTGCTTCCACCGGCTGAGTACCTCTTGCTATAACGAGTAAACTGACTGCAACTGTACCAAGTACAAAAGTCCTTTGAATTGGTTAAGGCTGATCTGTGTTTGTGTCTAGGGAGATGATATCTTAGACAGGAGCTCGGAGCTTATCTACACTGGGGAGTTGTCATGGATCTATCAACCGTATGGACGCAGCCAGCAGCGAGTCTTCTTCCTCTTTGATCATCAGCTGGTACTCTGTAAGAAGGTAAGCTGTCCTTATTTTTTTCTTCTGCTTTTTATTTCTAGACTTTGTTGGGTGAAAACAAGCTGCTAGCGTAAATAAATTCCCAGTTTGTGTTCCTCAAATGTGCGGTATCACATGGCTGGTAGGAGTGATGCTTGGAGACAGCGGGACTTCATACAATCTCAGTGAGGAGTTGAAAATAGATTACATAATGTTGTATGAGACACACCAGTCCTCTGGGAAGACGCATTCAAAACTCCTCTTCGCATTTCACAAAATGGAGCTGTGGTAGTTTGGGCTCTGATGCACTTGGGCTGTTATCCTTCCTGTCAAACCAATGTTTGTGCTTGGCTGGACTCGACGCATGCACTGAGTTAGAGACACAAATGCAGACAGACACTTAGACACAAACATGCACAGAGGCCATATAATGGCATTAGCACACACTCTCACACACACATCACTACAAAGACAAACACATAGAAAACTACGAGACATGCGGTTGTTCTGTTTCATCTTTGACATTCGAAATTAGACCCAACTGTTTTCCTCGATCTTTGGCTGTTCTGATTCAGTCTGGACTCAGCAGCGACGTGTTGCATAACCTGTAGTACATGTGTAGGGGCTCGCGCCAGCCCTAAGGGCACGGTACAGTAAGAACATGTTCTTCCCATCTCCTCTTCATCAACACAAGAAGTACATTTCTCTTTTCGTTGCTAATTAAAAGACCTCTTTCCATCTTTTTATCCTCTATTCATGAGAGACATTTTGCAGAACGGTTTTATGTGATTATTGTATGATCATCCTGATTTAGCAAATTATCACCCTTTCATTTACTTTGACTTTTATTTCATTGCACAAAACCAAACTGAAGGCTTGTCAGGTTTTGTATTGTTATTGTTGTCAACTGATGTACTTTGGATGGAGTACAGAGTGTGTCAGCGTTGTTTATCTCTTAGCTTTAAGAGCAGAGAAATTATTTTGGTTCATCTGCATGGTTTGTGCCTTAGCCAAGCTTTTGTGTTCACCGTGCACTAATTTAGTCACTAGCTACATTTACACGCGCCAGATATCCCCACCGAGCATTCAGTCCGATTAAATAGGTTGAGCATGCACAGAGTTGTCTTTGTGAACAAACGTCGTCTTGTCTGCACGCCTCTCCCCTGGATTTTATTTTCTTATTCTCTAGCTTTGTCCGAATTGACTTCAGTTTTCTTCCCTCGTTATGAACCTTCTTGGGCTGCACAGTGGTGCAGTGGTTAGCGCTGTTGCCTTGCAGCAAGAAGGTCCTGGGTTCAAATCCCGGCCTGGGGTCTCTCTGCTTGAGTTAGCATGTTCTCCCTGTGCATGCGTGGGCTCTCTCCGGGTGCTCCGGCTTCCTCCCACAGTCCAAAAACATGACTGTTAGGTTCATTGGTCTCTAAAAATAGTCCTTAGGTGTGAGTGTGTGTGTGTGTCTTTGTGTTTCCCTGCGATGGACTGGCGACCTTTCCACGGTGTACCCCGCCTGCATGCTGGGAGACTGCTGAGATAGGCACCAGCCCCCCGTGACCCTGCGAGGGTAAGCGGGTTAAGAAAATGAATGCATGCACCTTCATCGCGGTTTACCTGGATGCTTTTGTTTTTACGGATCACTTTAACTAAGCTACAGGCTCAGCGGTACGTAACGCTACTGCTCCTCCACCACAGGAGAGGAGAGCAGGATAACGTACTTATGGTCACCCGCTCACACCGTCCTCCAGCTCCTCAGACTTGTCCTGAGCGTCTGCAAAGGCATAAGATGTCACGCTGAAGTTGTACTCATGGGCATTATTTCACTCCGACAATCTGAACAGATGTGTACATGGACGTCAGTATGAATGATCATCAGACAAAGCCACCTCTCTCAGTCAGAATGGAAATTTAATTCAGATCAGGTCTTTTCGGATCAGAATATTTTGATTGACATGTTTACGCAAAGAATTTTTGATCTGATGAGGCAGTCATTCTGATTACTTGTGCCCATGTAAACGTAGCTAATGTTGAAAGAATGCCCTGATGCTTTTATGTAGTTTAATGCAAGAATAGTTTAACATTCAGTCAGCTAATCCAAAACTAGCTAAACTGACATTTGATGTGTGTTTTCTGATACAAAGCTCGCCTACGAAGTGCACTAACTGACAAGAAACGAGAGGAATGGTTTGGGAGTCATTTGGTGCACCTGTATAATAATATTGTTCCATTGAATGAGTATGTGTTAAATTCAGTGTTGGGCAAGTTACTTCAAAATTGTAATGCATTATTTATTACTTGTTACCCTCATTTTAAAGTAATTCATTACATTACAATATTACTGATTTTAAATTGTAAGGCATTACACTAGGGCTGCAACAACGAATCGATAAATTCGATGAAAATCGATTACTAAAAGCGTTGGCAACGAATTGCGTCATCGATTCGTTGTGTTGCGCAACTCTTCCAAAAGCCCCCCAACCCCCCCCCCCCCCCCCCGACCGCCGTTGCACAGACCGGAAGCAAGTCTGATCAGCACGAGGGAGCCGGGTGAAGCAGCGAGACCCAACAAAGTTAAAACTTCTAAAGTTTGGGAGCATTTTCAGTTAAATCAGGCAAAGACATTTGTTACCTGCAACGTTTGTAGGTCAGACTTAGCATGGCACGGTTGTACTAGGTGATGCAGCATCTTAAAAGCAAGCATGCCGAATCAGTGAGGAAGGAGAGAGCTCTGTGTCCGGGTAAATTAAAAACTTTTCAAAAGTGATTCACCCAAGCCCCGGATTATTACACAGGCTAGACATGCCCTAAGCTCGTTAAAAAAAAGTCTATAAAATCGTAAGCGCAACGCTATTAAAAAAAGGGGGGGGGGGGGGGACTCGCGCTGCTGCGAACCGGTTCCGCCGTTACATTCCCCGCAGAAACTGGTTGATTACACCGGGAACAGACTACTAGCATGTGGCTTTACAACCACAATGTCCTCGGAAGCAAAACGCTTTTAAAAGGGAGGGAGAAGTACTCACTCGCTGCAGGCGTGTTGTGTGAGAGTGTAGTTATATACTGGTTAATATATTTTTGGGTTCAGTTGCGTTCATGTGGCCTAATGTGAGTCTATTTGGGATCATTGGAATGATCAGCAGCATTTCTTGATGTGACTTTATGGCAGTTGCCCAGGGCATCATCACAAGGAGGATGGCATTCATTTACTTTTGTTTTATTTGGTATTTTTTCAGTCATTTTTGGAAATAGTGATTAATTTTGATTAATTCACAGCCTATGTTTAATTACATTTAAAAATTAGTTGTTTGACATCCCCAATTATAATAAATGTCTACAGATGAGATCAAACAAAACCGATGAGAATTCCCTGTTTAACTGTTCGCTGTTTAACTTGGACCAAGCATTTTAGGTCACAGATAGGTGTAGCTTAGGGTCTCTGTCTATACACCTTATAAGACAATTTAGGTGATGGCATGTTGTTTTTCTGCTATTGAACTGTTTTCTAATAATGTTGTGTTTAATAAAGTGAAGGAAGGAGAGAAATAACTTTTCCCTAGCAGTTTTTAACAATGTCCCCATGTAATCCGATTAATCGATTAATCGTGTCGAGACCCCATCCGATTCATCGATTATCCAAATAATCGTTTGTTGCAGCCCTACATTACACTACTTTTGCATTACTTTAAGTTACTTTCACCAATACAACCTCAATATGAATCTGGTAATCTGATTCTCAGTGAGCTCATGACATATATGTGGAAGGTGATGTGGTGTCTGAACTAGGATTGCTGTTAAAAACAGTCAGATATAATAACAGTGCTTTAAAATGATTGTTTATTAAATAAAAGCAACAACAATCTGTACTCTCAGCACGCTGCCATCTTATATTAACTGATCAGGGAGTGAGGTGGTGGGGGCTCCAAGCCTATATTTGCCTTGGTCCCCAAATGCCTTGATACGGCCCTGGATGTGGGACTGACTTCTGGGGTGATCTGATTCTATCACATGTATAAATATTAAATGCTCATATGTTATTGCTTTTCACTGGTAAACATGTGTATTGGGGATAAATCTACCTACTTTTTTCTTTTTTTCTTGATTTTATTTGAATAATTTCCGGCCCGTTCTCTCTCTAACCTTCCTGCATGCTGCATGTTTTCTCCGTCTTCCAGAAAAAACTGTTTCCAAGACTTCCTACTTTCTATCCATCAGCCAAAGAGATCTTCACATGCGCGGCGCTCCAGCAGTAATGAGATGAAATCACCGGGGCACAGATTATGAACTCAGCTGAGGCAAAGCACGTCAGAAAAGCACAAAATTCCAGAGAACATGCGCTGATATGAACAATCGCAAGTGAATTATTTTGTTTTAGTGGAGCGATTTTGTGAATGTTACAGCGGCCGCGTGCAGGACGCAGCTGGAGTAGCTGAGCCGTTACCGCTGCGTCCTCTCTGCCCGCAAAGCTGAGTCCATAAATGACGTAATATATGCAGATACTGGATCTTTCTTCGGGTTTCCCGCAATTTGAATTTTTAAGGAACACATCTTGATTCTGGGTTTAAAAATGCATTGTAATTACCGCGTTACTGACGATTGTACCGAGTAAATATTACCATTTTCTTTCCCTGTAATGCCTTACATTACCACATTACAACAAAAAGCAATGCATTACAGTAATTAATTACTTTTGTACCGCGTTACTCCCAACACTGGTTAAATTACATTTTTAGTATGAGAGATTCCTTGTTTCATCCCAGTGTTAGCATCTGAACCCGGGGACCTCGTCAGCAACAAAAACTGAAAGGGATGCAGACAGTTTTAAGTTTGTTTTCCAGTGTAAAGTGAAACTCTGTTCATCACATAATGATATAAATCCAGTAGGGCGAATTCTGGCCGAGTAGGCAACTTGTTTACATGAGTGAACAGTAGCAGGGAGAACATAGGCTAATGTTCGTAAGCTGGTTAACACATTTTTACAAATACCGCTCTCCATGAACCCACCAAGGTGTGCTTAATCTTTGCCCAAGTGAGCTCCACTAGAACCAGTAGAAACCAGGCTAAACTGTCAATAAAACTAAAATAAATAAACCAACCTCAGTCGCCACTTTTTCTCTCCGTTCAATACTCCCGTAAATTGCTGTTGCCCAACTTAGCTACTTTTTTGGATAACCTAACAGGGCTTTAACTAGTTGAAGCCATGCTAAACATCACAAATAACAACAACAACAAGAAAAAATCAATCTCAGGCACAACACTAGCATCGGCTCCACTCTACCCCACTTGGTGCGGCTCGCCCCTGCTTGGCAGCGTTCGTTCCACACTGCCTTAGGAATTTGGACGTGATTGAGCACATGGTCGGTCTCCAAATTTGGTGTGAAAAATAGATATCAATGATGTCATGAGCTCATCAGAGCATGTGGGTGGGGAAAAAGAGCCTGGAGAAAGCTGCGGTGTCTCATGGCCTGAGCAATCTTGCTTTTGGAGACTCTCTGACTCTGATTTTGCATCCTGCTTTGCTGTGTCTGGCAGCACTGTGTATGTGTGTGTGTGTGTGTGCGTGCGTGCGTGTGTGCAGTCAGAGGCTCGTTAACTCCACAGCATCCAGAATGATAAGGAATTGCACATGTGGGACGCTCCCGTTGAATTGGAGGCTCTTCCTAATGGTAGACATGATTTTGGGTCGGCCAGTCAGTCAGCGGTGGACAAGTAGGACCAGTTTGGCTCCAGGCAGACTGTCTCGAGAAGAGGGCTGAAAAGATGTCAGTTGCACGCCAGAAAATCCAAGGGTACTTAAATGAGAACACTCCAGACCCGGTCCGAGCGGAGTAGAGCCAATGTAGCCAGTTCAGTACTTGTGTCGCTCACTGTTTACATGCTTTTGCCCTCCAGTGTGGTGGACCCACGTGATTAGGCGGCGTAGGTGCAGAGCCAATACAAATACAGGCCATTTCCCATTTATACACAAAATTAGAACAAAAATATCCAGGGATAAATGAATTGTGAATTTGTGCCCGTGAAGTGCTTTCCTACTAGTTTTATGTTGTTAACGGGTGACCTTCGTCCTGTAGTGAAACTGTGTCCCACAGGACAGAAAACCAGAGCTGCACACTGTCCCCTAAACAGTCACACCCCTGCAGCCTCTAGAGCTCCTCGGCTGGCCCGTATTACACAGCTGTCTGCTGGTCACCTCCTGCTCACATGGAACCAGATACAGCACCACTAGGTGAAACTCGAGAACCGTCAGCTAAACAGACACAAAACGTCTCAATATCAGTGTTTTCTCACAACTTGTGTTTGTGTTTGTGTTGAATTCCTTCACCCGACGCACGACGTTTAACAACTAAATGTTTTAGTAAATTAACACGTCTTGTCAATCTGATATCAGCCTCCTTCATCCACACAAAGTCTTTTAGGCTTGCTGTACTTGTTCTTCATCTGCATCACAGTGAAATCATTTACCATCCAGAGTTATAATACGTGTGGCTGTCCATACCTTACAAAGCTTTCATCCTGGTGCTTATGTAAGGAGAGGGCTTCTCTACGAGATACAACACAAGATGTCACCAATCTGGAGATCTGGGTGAGACATTGGCATTTTCAGGGATGTGAATAAAGCAGCCATGCAGAATGAGTCCAACAAAAGAGTTTGACCACACACGTTTGGTTTTCCTCCATGGAAGAGACGTCTCTTTTGGAAAGAGACAGGTGGAAAAGTAACACAGTTGTCAATTGTTGCTCATCAGGGTAGCAAGTCGGTCATGTGAATGAAAACAATGAACATTAAGTTGTGGTCCTTCCAGTTTCCCCACTCGACCGTGTCTAAGATCAGCTAGGACATCAGCTCTGATTCAGTGTTTTAAGACAGGGTATCCGCGGGTCCTTAAAAAGTCTTAAAAAGTCTTAAATTGGCTTTTCCAAATTTAAGGCCTTAAAAATCCTTAAAAATGACAAATAATCCTTAAATACAGTTTACAAAGGTCTTAAATGACCAAAGACCCAATAAACAAGATTATTTTATTACTATAAAATTTTTGTGAATTTCTAGTTAGTGTTCAGTTTTTTTTTGTGTATGATGTTGCCGTAAGCGGAACCGTACACATTCAGTTGGTTGTGAAAGGGGGCTATTTTTAGATGAGCACATTAGCTGGTTAAGCTAGTGGGAGCTTGTGCCGTGGGGAAGGGCAAGTTTAATGGCTACTGGATGGCTAATCCCACGTTCGCGACGTGGTTAGCACCGGTTCCAGGCAATAGCTGGAAATTATAGCTTAAATTTGGTCAAAGTGGCCTTAAAAAAGGTCTTAAAAAGTCTTAAATTTGGCTCCCCTAAACCTGCAGATACCCTGTAAGAGTCAGTTAAAATGGCTCTTAACATTAGCCAGTGATGGGAGGGGAGGCCATCACATCAAACTCAACTACACATAATGTGCAGTAGGGCTGCACCTTATTAGGAAAAGCTGCGATATTCGATAATAATGATTAATATTGCGATGACGACATTACTGACAATAAATAAAGACTTAACTCAGGAACAAAATTAATCAAAAATAAAGAAATAAAACGTATAAAAATGAGAAAGGCTAAAGATGTGAAGGAAGGGAAAAGGGAATGAACAAGAAAAGACAATCAGTGGCTCCCGGGAAAAGCAGAATCAGCAAAAAGAACAGACCAAAGCTAACTCAGGTGTATGCTAACCATCAAAATGAAGTGCCGCCCGCCTCGGGGGCGGGCATCTGACCTATGAGAACCCACCCAACTGGTTAAACGGGTGAAGAGCTCTGTTTGATTAGTTAAAAAGCATAATGCTGTCGTTTGATTGACAGAATGCATCATGTGTAGCAAACATCTGAGCTGAACATTCAATGCCATATTTATCTGTTCTTTGCGATACGCATATTGTGTATGCTGATATCACGATAACGATATATTTACGATATATTGTGCAGCCCTAATGTGCAGAGTGGACTTACTGAGAAATACAGTTTTCTGAAATGTGAGGAACGAGTTTGGGCAGCAGACGGAATGGGTCGTATAAAACGTTCTCTGAGGATACCAGAGGAGAAATACTTGTTGACAGCAGACATGTTGTTGTTCTCTTCACCAGGACCTGATACGCAGAGACATCTTGTACTATAAGGGTCGCATCGACATGGATCGTTACGAGGTCCGGGAGGCCATTGACGGGCGGGACGATGACTTTAACGTCAGTGTAAAGAACGCTTTTAAGTTGTACAACAAAGACAGTGAGGAGATACACATCTTTCTGGCCAAAAAGCCAGAGGAGAAGATCCGCTGGCTCAGGGCCTTCCATGAGGAGAGGAAGATGGTGCAGGAAGATGAGAAAATCGGTAATCACACTCTTTCTACTGTCGTGTCTTTATTTCCTGCCACTGAATGGCGTGCTTGTGTTCATTTGTCTGTCTTTTAGCAGAATATGTCATAAAACTGTCAGAAAGTGGATGCAAATCTACTGAGTAACCACTGGAGTTAAACCAACTGAAGATGGCTGCCACAGTGAAATTCACCCAATTGCAGCAAAACCAAAAATGGTTACAAGTCAATATCACAGAAATAAACCAAAATATTATGTGGTGGCTTTTTGTGATAGCACATGAGATTATAACAATGATACTGCTTCTAAGATTTTACCAAAATGACTCAATTATTTCATAACAAAACACAAATACATTATGCATTCCTGCAAGGAATATCATGCTCTTACTTTTATAAGTGAAGAGCACCGGAGAGATACAAATGAATTAAAAACATGTGGATTTAAGTTGTAAAATGAGTGCAACAGCTAGTATCTCCGAGTGAACTGGACACTTAGGGATTGAGGGATGTATCTGCAACTTTACTTTGAAAAGTGAAATGGAAACACTTGGTCAGCTGATCCTCATCCCAACTGAGAGATTGCATTTTTATGACCTTTACATTTCAACAGAGTACCCTTCTGTCCTTTAGGTTTTGAAATTTCTGAGTACCAGAAGCGACAGGCAGCCATGACGGTGAGAAAGGTGACCAAACAGAAAGGTGAGGCAACCAGAAGATATCAGGTGATTTCCCCTTTTATTTCCCCGCTGGCGTGCTCTGTCTTCTCATCGTTGTTTACTCTCTTTCTCTAACCCGCTCTCCTTTTTTACTTTCCACACCCTGTTTTAACACACACACTGTTTATGAATGGATCTATGCCAGTCCTGCACCAAGTTAACTAGAACACGCTGTTTGCTGCGCTCATTTTCCCCCTTTGAGCCCCCGGTGGGTCAGCCCGTACACGAGGATGACTTGATACGAGAAGTGAAGCAGATGTTAAGCATCAATGAAAAGACAGAGGGCTGTTTGCATGTTGTTTAGAGGGTGACACCAGCACTCAGGACTTGTGGCTCCTGCGTCATGCTAGTCTTCACGCCATCATGGCTAGTTCTTACACAGCTGTTTGGGCTTCATTCTCTCACTGAGTTAAGGTGGCGGTTGGTCTCATCGTTTAACCCACGGCTCAGGCTGCATTGGTGTTTAAATGTCTACATACTCTCTTCCAACTAGCTCAGTAACAGAAGAACAGGTCAAACACGCTATTTAGCATGCTAGCTCCTGATAGGACTGTTGACCCACACATCCACTCTGCTGGTATCACCCTTTAACATTTAGTCGTTTTAGCTGCTAGGCTACAGTAGATGTTTGTACATTTTACCATGACTGATGTTCTTGCCAGAGTCACAATAAGCATGACCATCCATGAAGGTATTAATGAACTAATGACCACTGCTGGGATGTTCTCTCTGACGTTAGGACCCCGTAGACGTCTGTGGGACTAAATGTTGTGTGTTTCTAAGTGCTGTATGTGTACGTGGCTGGCACAAGGTGAAGTACTTTCTTGAATTTCAGATTCATTTATAGATTTCATCTTGAGAAAGAGGGCCATGTTGTATGGACATGGTTTGAAAATGATAAAGGTATATATGCATTAGAGTTTTCCTTAGAGCTAGCACAACAGTAAGATGCCATGGCAACTGCTAAGCAGCATTGGGAAGTGTTGTGTTTCAACGTTGGCACTGGAGCATGCGATTACCGTCCAATCTGTTTACAAGCATGATCTTGAACTATCCGAGAGAAACAGGCTCTACCAACACAAACAGATCAGACCCTTCTCACAGCGAAACGCTGCTTCTCTTCCCTTTTCCCTGTTTTTTATGCCCAAGATGCCATGGCAACTTTTGAATATTTCATTCTCAACAAATCTATTTCTTTCTGACAGTAGCGCAGTTGTGATGCTTGTAGACTGTAGCTGAAGCACATGGTAGACTAGCAGCTTTCTGTTGGCTCTGGTGTTGCTGCTCCTGTCTTTTAAACGGTGCTATTCAAACAAACGTGCAGTTAAACATGGAAGAGCGGCGTCCAAACGGCCGTGTCATGGAGCTTTTTGGTGTAACGTTGGTTCTCCTGTTTTCCTGCGACAGCGTTTGACTGAATAGTACCTCCATCCTTCCTCGTGTCACCACTACAGCTGAATGTGCTCCAGATTCAGCTCTCATCGTGTGGTCAGACTGTCATTTCTCAGGATCGGTGTGCAGGAATGTAAACAGAAGGCTCATTTTGTGTCTCCGTGCCCGTGTTGTGTGGAAGCATGACTTGGTGTTGTGTTGCTGTGCCTGTTTCCTATGAAATTCTGACGATGTTTCCTTTTTGCTATCTGCCTCCCTCCTCTTGTCTCCTCTGCTTTGTGCTCCGCACCCCTCGCTCTCTTTCCCTGCACCTGCTTTCCCAGGTGTAAACAGGTGCACGCCCCCCTCATACCCGCCCCCACAGGACCCCCTCAGCGCGGGGCAGTATGAGGTAACGGAGGACATGGCACAAGGAGAGGTTTTTGAATTCAGTCAATCCAAAAGAGGCCAGGCGCCTTTCTGGCAGAATTTTAGTCGATTAGCTCCATTTAAGAAATAGAGAAACAGACTCTTCTGAAGGACCTGCTATTTTTCTTAGAAGCACTAAACACTGGATGGTTCTGTCTCATGATGAAGAAATTACACACACACACACACACTCACTCATAAGACTTTGAAGTCCAGGACCAGTGTTGTTTCACCCTTTGACTGGAAACACCAAGAGGACTAAAGACTTCTGAGAGGAAAAGAAGAAACACACGTTGGTATTCGTTAGTGACGTTCTTAGTTATCACGCTTCTCCAGCTGGCTCAACTCTCATGAACTCCTCCCCCTTGGATTCTGCACACTCACGCCATCTGAATGTTCTGGAGTTATTGAGATTGTTTTGTTTTGTTTATTTTTTATTCACGACCTGGACAACAGAAGCGCTGCCAGGTTGTTTTTGTTGTGTGATTGTGTCCAGAGGCTGAGACGGGGCTGTGCTGCTATGTGAGACTGTGTTCTTCTGAATGTGAGACTGACGCACGACGACCTCCGCTGAGGGACGTGTCGTGTTCAAGGACCTGCCGGGCTCAACTGTCAGACTTAAATCATCGTCATCACCACTAACCAGCTCATCCCTGCTCCACTGATGCCTCCATCTGGATCACCTTCCGCTCATCATATCACCCTCATTCTTCTTTACAAAGTCTGGTGTCGTCTTCCCTTACTCCACATCCTTCTTGTCCTCTATCTCCTGATCCACCTGCTCAGCTTTTTGTGAGTCAGTGGCTCTCAGAGGGGGATTTTCATTCATCTGGAAACCTGCCATTGGCCATGATATGATGGGTCAGGGAACAAATCAATAGAGTATTGAAATCCTTCCACCAACCGCTCGTGACAGGGTATTCACATCCATGCCCGGTGTGTTTCGTCTGACGGAGAGCTGAAGCATCTGGGAGCAGGAGATAGGCGGGTTATGGTCCACCTGCTTTGTGCCGTACTCTCATGGGCGAGTACCCCCTCCCTCCTCGTAGCACTGTGCTGGCAGCTCGCTGGGTGCTGGGAAACATGGCCGCCTACCTCCAGGAGAAAGTCTAAAGTCGGATTTTCACGTCGACTCCAAACACGAAGACGTAATGATTCTGCTGTGATCACAGTGTAAAACCACTCAGCCCGACTGTGTTTGCTCTCATCTCAGTACGACGTTTACATTTGTTATGTTACAGTTTGGAAACTTAGCGAGGACCCAAACCAACACCAGGGTCTCAGTTCCGCCAGTATTTCAGAAAAGAAATGCCGTTAGAACGATGAGTGTGATTAGTAGCATGCACGGGTCCTGCTGACGGGTTCAACGCCTGGGGCCTCGTTTATCAAACGTACTTACGCACAGATGTGTGCGTATTTGGTGCGTAGGGACAATCTACTCGTGCGGTATTCATCATTTATCAGAAACGTTCCTGAATGTAAGAACATCTGTCCGTGGAACAGCTTATGGTGGCAGAACGGGCAAGCGCGCTACCGAATGTCTCAGTCATCCAAATGTGTTTCTCATCCACACGTTTTACTGATCCTGTCTGTAATTTTGTCAGTGGAAAAATGGCTTTTTCGCATAATTGGTGCTAAAACCAATAAAAGACAGGTGTGACCGACGGGAATCTGACATTATCTCATGGCTGCTCTGTGTTATTGGAGGATTTAACAGAGCGTGCTCTCTGGAGGGAACACGTTCTCCGTTAGCGCTCTGATCTCAAAGGAAATCCTTCTGCTATGCTCAGATTTGGGACTCTTTGTGGCGCGACGGACAAACTTCACGAATCCGATCCCGGTTCATATTTTATTTTACAACCATGAGAGCCCCCCAGAACCTCCTCTGCTCCCCGATCATACACGCCGCGTTGCCAAGGTAACCAGACTGAATGACAGCTCAGAGGCTGCACTCTCAGGCAGCAATTCCAAATAAAACTAACTCCAAACAGAACGAGTCCTTAAATGCAAACAACAACCCGTTACTCTACGAGTTATTTATTTGTTTCTGACAGGAACCTCTCCTCTGTCCCGACCGCGTTTTTAACCTCTGCAGCTTGTTGGTTCGATCTCGGTGTCAATAAAGTTTTTCTTATTTTTTCTGGGGGTAAAAAACAGGGAATCCCCTCGAGTGCTGAGGACGTAGCGTGACCAAATATGGTTAATTGAGGGCGTTTCTCTATGCAAATGGCTGTCAACAGGCAGAGCACCCGAGTACGCACAAGTGGCATCTATCAACAGCTGATTGCGGAGAAACAAGCTTACGAGAGGTCACCGCCTGTTCCATAAGTAAGACTCTGAGCTGTTCGTACGAACATTCTTATTCCCATTCGTAGGATAGAATATAGGAACGTTTGATAAATGAGGTCTCTCCACCCCGTCACGTCCGATCCGTGGTTTGCCAGTTAGACTGTGGCCCGATCCGATCCATTTGTTTAATCACCAAAGTCCCTGGGGCTGCTGTGTGTGTGTGTGTGCGTGTGTGTGTGTGTGTGTGTGTGTGTGTGTGTGTGTGTGTGTGTGTGTATGCGTGTGAGACTCCACCTCCTGCTGAGGCATTGAGCTACGAGAGAAGCTCTCCTCTCTCATCACAGAAGTGTTTTCTACTCCTGGAATGTAGAGTCCATGCTGTGTGATCATAGCTGACCTCAGAGCTGCTGTTTGTGTTCACCTCTTCCACCACACGGACATTTACCACAGTAAGACGACTTGTGCGATGTGACGCATCATTATGAATCCTCACTATTCGCTATGATGTGAAAGAGCTGAGTATTGTTCTGTGGTTCTGACCCAGCTCAGAGTTGCGTAAGCCCTGCTCTGCCCCACTGAGGCGGCTGCTGCTGTGGGTAGAGATGCTCCCAGTGAGGTTGTTGGGAAAGATGACGCTCATGCCTGGCAAAGCAAAAAGAAATGGTTCCCAGGCCATGACAACCTCAGGTCCCACCTGCCTACCCCTACTAGTCCTTACTCAACACACACACACACACACACACACAGTTGCACAATCATGCTCACCTGCTGGCCCGTTCCTCTGCGGAGAAGAGAGATGCTATCTAACAGTGCCTTCCAGCATCCACTAGAGATAATCGATTCAGTTTCACTGGCAGGTTTGAATTAGTCTTGTATTTTCCCTTCAGTGCATTTCTTCCTTTCTCCTTCTCTCTCGTCTCGTTCACACTGGGATTCCCTCGTTCCACCGGTGCGCGACACTCACTCGGACAGAAACTCAGAGGTCAGACCTTCTCCACTCCAGCAGATGCCGTGTGGTCTGAGTGGAACACCTGATTTTATGTCCCACGTGCACAGCAGCTACTTTAATCGTACAAGACGACGTTCACTCTCATTCCAGTCGAATAAATGCTTCACTTATTATCTATTTCACTTGCTGAAAGATTGAATTTGAGTAATTAGAAGACAGATTTACTTGAGTTAGGTCAGGTTTCACATGTAATAGTGAGTGACGAATCAGAAGAAGTCATCTATTTTAACTTTGTCAGCTACAGACTGTAAATACTGTACAAAGAACAGATCATATATTTGGATATTGGTATTTTGCGTTGGAGACTAATGTTGTTCCAGTTCTAGCGTGCGGTAGACCTCAGTACCAGGTTAATGCATGCGTGTGGCATCCAATAGTTTGCATGAGACTCGAGGCAACTCTTACCAGATTGTTTAGTTTCGCTGACCTTCCCCTCCCACGCCGGAGGCGGGACCATTTATTTGTGAGCCCGTGACATCTCACTGAAGGGAGCTGTTTTCTCTGTCCACCTGTACCCCGCTCACGTTCATGGTGTTTTTATTTATTGTCACTTAGAGCAGAACACCACGTTCTCCACGTCTGATGGGTGGTATACACGACACATCTCCTCGTTACGCTGTCCAGCTGCTGGTTATTTTTAGTGCCAACATCATCATCGTCATCTTCAGCGGAGGCAAAACGGGTAATCTTTTTACGACAACAGAACCAAACAGGAGCTAGCTCTTATCCGGGGTGCTTTTGTGTATAAATTAGTAGCGGCGCTATGGAAACCTCTAGATGAGCTAAAAATAAATATAATCCACAAAGAACTTCATTAGAATTCATATCATGCTCTCGTTTAAGGAATGAAGTACAGTACTCTTCTATTTATTGACAGCAGTATTAAGTTGTTCTGAACCAAACTGTTTAAATGATGTGTATATTGGGTTTATTCTTATTATTTCTTTATTTTAATAACTAATCTGATGGCCTAATAGCCAAAAGGACAGGGTTGGGTTCATTCTCAGTTAGCCTCGCAGCTCCGTGTAGTCCATCACTGGCTCGTGTGACATGTCAGGGTCCGAGTCTTCTACCAGCCATGTGGTGTTCAGTAACAACGAGAAGACTCGTCCCTCGTCTCAGAAACTGCTCACTGTATATTACCATCTAGTTTGAGGTCTGGATTTCTTTTTTCTTTGTCATTGAAAGTTTTACTCGCAGTATTTACGTCCTTTAACACCATATGCAAACCGTTTTTCTTTCTGTCTGTCTCGTTGGCCTTTATTTGTTGTAGAAATGAAAAACCTGAAAAATAATGCCTATTCAATCCAGAAACTGTGAATGGGAGAGTGGAGATGTCAGCTGTATGTACATTCTATGTTTTGATGTATTCAGAAGCACTGGGAATATGTTGTACTTCGCTGTAAAAAAACAAAGAAATCCATATCTGATATAGCTGTACTTTTGTTGAAAATAAAACCTCTACAGAACGCCGCGTCGATGCATCAGCGTGTGTGTGTGCGTGTGTGTGGCTGTGGGAGCATTGTGCCCTGCTTCCTGTCCAGAGTGACATCATTTCCTGTTTGTTGGAGCCATTCCCAGCAGTCTGACACATTAACTTGTGCATGCATTACAAAGGGAAAGAATAAAGGGTGTGAGTTAACATCATCACGTCACAAGGTACATGAATAAACCTCCAGCCACAACTGGCAGCTGCATAGAGGTGCGCCGTGATGAATAAGTAATGAGTTACGCAAACGTTTCTCCCACTCGGCCGCGCTCAAGCGCAGGCTCTTCACTTCGCTTCCTGATGTTTTGAAGTCCAAAGATGCAAGATTGTTTGCTTTATTTTTTCTGTCTTCCTGGCGAGATCGGAGGCGCCCTGGTGTGATGCAGACAGCCGGTGTGTGCATGTGTTTCTGCAGTAGGTAGGAGGACATTTTGATTGTGTCAAGTCACCTGTGAAAAGGGAGAGAGCTGAAGCTGATGCAAAAATGGATCAACAGATGATCAAAACTGCTCATTTAGACGCCTCCGGGAAGCTGCAGACTTGGTGTTACTGGGGCCTCTAGTGGTCAGTGCTGGTGTTACACCTCCAACATGGAGCCCCTCTGGGTGATGCAGAGGCCACGCTCAGCACGTCTGTGAAGATCAAGTGTGCAGCGTGGGGGGAACATCTCTGGTCACTGGTCAGACAAGTACAGAGTTGTGATGTTTCAGATAATTCCTCAGGATCAGAGGAATGTCCAAACGGTCCACTGCAGCGTCCTTGTTAGCAAACGTGAGACATCTTCTGATCATCAGTCGGGCCTGTGACATCAGTGTTTTGGGACAAACTGAAACAGAAGAAGTGAGAAACAAGGAGGAAGTGTTTCATTATAATGTGGCAAATCTCTCCCTCTCACCTCTCGCTTTGAGCAGCAGAAGCAGAGCTTCGTTCTGCTTGGTAGTTTTATCGATGATGAGCGTAGGCAAGAACACGTCCGCGCCAAAGTCTATGAGAAGCTGAATGTACTCGGGCCCACAGCCATACTGGAGACACACCTCCAGAACAGTTTTGGGCTGCTTGATCCTGGCCAGCATCTTCTCATCCGTGCAGTTGTAGTTGGGATTGGCCCCGTGGAGGAGCAGCAGCCTAAAGCAGTCCAGGTGTGCATACACAGCTGAGAGGTAGAGGGGGCCCCTGCAGGCTGTGGCGTTGGAGGCCCAATCGGGGACCTTAGGTCTGACGTCCACCTTGGCTCCAAACAGCAGCAGCTCTCGCAGCACGTCTACGTCCCCCTCTCGGGCGGCTGTCAGCACCGGAGAGCAGTTATTGTACTGACTGCCGTTCGGGTCGGCACCAGCTTTCAGGAGCGCCACCACACAGTCCAGATGTTTCCCGCTGACAGCTGTGAAGAGAGGCGTCTGGGCCTTCACGTCCAAAACGTCCACCTGGGTTCACCAAGTACAACGTGTTTAGGATTCATTGATTTAAGAGCAAGCGTGAAAAACCAGGCAAACAGCATGATTAGAGCCGGAATGTCGGGTTGGACGTCACGGATCATCATGCTGATTCACATCTTCGCTTCTGACTCAGGTTCCTGAGCAAGGCACTTTTACAGAATCTCTCCGCCCCACAAATCCTGAAGCAGGAACTACGAGGAAATGATGAAAATGCAAGATCTTATTTTAACTTATGTCTTCTGGAAAGTTATTTTCCATAAATGGTTGTCATGTTTTCAGTTCTGATTTTAGTTTCTTCATTTATTCTCTGAAGAGCCAGCCCCGTCGGATAAGCTGTACGTAGGATTAATGATGGAAGCAGCAGGTCACCGCGTCGTCAGATTAAAGCTGACGCTGTCGTGTAGTCTGTCTGAGTCCAATAATCCACTCTCGTACTCAGAATAAATATAAAGTTTGTGTTTAATTACCGACCATTAAAGCTAATGGCTGATCCTGCAGCTTCCTTGTTTTCAAGAGGTGTGCTACGCCCTCAGTGGCCAGTAGGGGGAGCTCCACAGCAGATTCACCACTCAAGGGATAGAAAGTCTTTCCGTTTGTGCTCTAATGAAACATTCTGAGACAAATCTTCACGTCATTTCTGATTCCACTTTGCCAGTAGACACGTTTAACCCTTTATATGGCACTCATTGAATTATTTTAATTTTTAAAGTTTCAGCCCCAGGGTGTTATTGTGGTAAATAACCAAAGTGCATTTCTGTTGTTACGATTTTCAAAAATACTTATTTCCATGCAGAAATTCATAGAAAACGAAGTGATCAAACATGGACGTTGGCCCTGTTCTGGTGGAAGAAATCCCAAAAGAAAACACACGAGCAAGTGGAATAAATATATTTTTTAAATAATATAGATAATAATAATAAGACACTTTAATCAAGCTAATTTTAGAACATTACATCACTGTTCAAAAATACAGAACAGTTCATTATGAAGTATATTTTTATAAAACAGATGAATGTGGAATATTTTAGAAAAGTTATTGAACAATAGATACTATTTCTGATCAAATATAGATTTTTAGAATATTTTATATTTGAGGATCTGCCTCATTATCCTCTTCCACTTGTTCATCATCATCACTGATGGCGAGATTGGTTGGCGTGATAACTGTCTTCCTCCATTTCCTACAGAAATCTTAGTTAAAACTGCAAAATATACACAATTTAATAGTTGTTATTATTACTGTTTCCATGAATATTAAGAATTTGTCTAAAAAAACAACAGATTTTACCTAAAAATATTCATAATTTCTTTTCCTGGCTCAGGCCGTATGTTCAAATTTGGCAGATTTCTTTTTCATGCTATGATTTCACCAACTTCATTGAGTTTAATATTTACAACACATATATCTTTATTTAGCACAACTAGTCGCCCTGGTGATGTGAGAGTTTCATGAACCTAGCGTTGTTAGTTTTAGAGAGCTGACCGTAAACACGAGGAGACCGAGCAGTTTTCTGGCTCTGCGGACTCACCGATATTTGGCGCGTTATAGCCCCGCACTGATTGGTGGAATGGCACCACGGTGCAAACCGTGACTAGCTTGATCTCTGATGATTGTTTGGCTAAAATCCTGTAATTCTAAGAGTTTGTGAAAAGGCACACCATCATAATTTATGATGTGAGTGGAAGTGTCTAAATATAGATGTTGGCCCTGTAAAGGGTTAAACACAAAAAAGTACGCAGAAGAACATTTCTGTCTTTTAAATGAAGCAACCCCACTGACACGTGCAGCAGTAGTGGCTTCCCACGTTTCAAACAAAAACATCTAAACAAAAAAGTCCTAGCATGAGCTCACCTCTGCTCCATGTTCCAACAGCAGCTCCAGACACCTGAGGTGTCCGAGCGCAGCAGCAGCACGAAGAGGGGTCACCGGGACCCCCCAGCCACTCGGTGTATTCATGTACATTCTGTAGTTCTCCTGAGACAGAAGCTGAGAGAGCAGAGAGATGTCATCACTGCTCACGGCGTTGTTCAAGGCCCGACACAGCTCGCCGTCCTGGTCCTCCTCCTTAGGCTGCAGCAGGGAGAAGGCCTTTGAAATGTCCATCAAACTGGTGCTGGTGGTTTGTCCCTGTGCCATGCTGCAACGCCAGGAGATCAGAACACCTCCATCTGCAAACACTCCTAAAATCCAGGTTCGCTTAGTTGGAATTGTTGTCATGGTGAATAATTTAATCTACAGGAATTCACTGTAACGTGACACCTACCTGAACGTGTTGTGGTTTCCCAAGATGTTAGAAACTCCTAAAACACCATAATAGGTCAGGAGGGGAAATGGGTGTCATCCGAAGCCTGTGTGGAGCTTCTACGACTGCTATGAGCTGTGAAAGGTCCAGTATGTGTGATTGTGTGTTTCTGACAATGGGTGCCAGAGCTTCATTTCGGGTGGTGGGTTGGGGGCTAATTTTAGGCCACATAGGGGCCAGGCTAAACTTCCATTCTGGGAGAGCCAAGGCTCTGGTTTATAATTAGAAAGGAGATAGAGCTGTGACACTGTGGTCAGTGTGCATGACTTAGACTGAGCCCGAAATATCAGCGTGAAAGGAGAAAAACAGAAAACGTACACAGGAGTCCCCATTAGAGTTCAGAATGCTTAAGTCAGCAACGTTTCACGATTCCTGAGTGAGGAATCGAATTGTAAAACTACAGCTTTAATAATTTGCTGTGTTTTCTGTTGTCATCCTGATTCCTGCAGTTTCAGAGTCAGCTGTGTCTGAAGCTTTCAAGGAGAATCCACTCAGCTGTTCCTCTGCCAAACCCACCCATGTCTTCTCACTGTCCCGGCTTCAGGCAGCAGGTTGAGACACACTGCATTCCTCCAACAGATGGCAGATTGACAGATTTCTGGCATTGTTCAAACACACGATGAGGCCTTGCTTTTTTTATTTTTATTACCCACACAAAATAAACGTGCACATCTGAGATTCTCTGAGTATACAAGCTTCCTGAAGCACTTTCCAAGAGCGGTGACTAAGTAAAAGCTGTCAGCAATTACTTAGTCACCACATTTTTACACATCACACTCACACACATCTCCATGCTCTTGTTGAGAGTTTGCCATCTAGTTTTTAATATGTTTATTTTATAAAATCTAGAGTGTACATCGCTGGAATATGTTTAGTGTGCCTGCTCTTATGGAAGCTTTTCATAAAGCAGCACTAACGTTGCAAACAGATGTGTTCCTCCTCATTTCTGACTTGTTAAAGCAGAAAGCACAGGTGTAACTAATTACATTAAATGCATCTCCTCTCTGTTCAAAGGGTTCCTGATGAGACGTGCATTTCAGTTTGCATGCACTCCGTAAGAGTTCTGGAGCTGCTAATATGACCCCTGGAGGGGCAAACAGACATCATTACTGCTATTAGTCCCAGATTAAACTCTTCCTGCTGGGATGCAGCTCATGATTATGGCCACATTTCATGAGAAAGGGGCTTTTCAGATGATTAACACATTTTCAACAAAACAAATTTAGTTAATCGGTATTAAAGAAAGGCTTGTTTGTGCTTTTGTTGGAATTTCCTTCTCCACCACAAGGTGGCGGTAGAGGCGCACCGGAAGCAGGAAGTGCGGCTGTCAATAGCGAAACAGGAAAACCATTTTCTCAATAATTTAACTTTAATCACATCCCTGGTAGTTGCTTAATCAAAACACTAAGAAAAAACTACATATGGTTTAGTTTTAGCCATAAAGCTCAGTGCTTGCGCCCAAAACTGTTCGGTTTGACGCCATTTTTCCGTTGCTTGGTGGCAACAACTATAAAATGAACGAAGAAGTAGCATTTAAAAACTACTGCAGCGCGATGCTTTTCCGTGTCCGAAACAAGCAGACGTGTCCTGGATGGAAGAGGACGAGCAGCGGGCAGGAGGCAGTGAGGAGGTCGGATGGGAGTCGGAATGCGGAGGTTCCTGGCAGAGCCGGCCAGCTCCAGCCCAGCGTCCCCTTACGGCTCATAGTCACGCTGAGGATGAAGACTTTAAATGAGAAGCTGAGACGAGTACGGAAGCTTTATTCTGCGTGTAGCTGCTGTAAACAAGGAGGAATGATATTTGATGTGTTTACAAATGGCGGCTGAGGAGGACTTCCGGGATGTCTGCAGGGCGCGTGAGGAGGAGGCTCCTCTGGCCTTGGCCACTTTTATCAGGAGGAAGAAGACAAAACTGCAGCTCCAAACACCGAAGGCCAGACTCAACAGCGAGTTCAGTGAGTTTGGCGGCCATATTAATATTGATGAGAGTTTGAGTGTTTAGACTAATTGTCTGATTATCCTCTCCCCTGGTTCAGGATTAGACCGCTTTTAGAGGAGCTGCTGCCAAATCTCCCTGAGCCTCCCGATGCCCCTCTCAGGATTTGGGAGGAACTTCTTTTGGTGAAAATATGCGGGTCACAGCAACCTGGGGTTGCCTTAGCAACCACTAAAGAACGTGGAGTTGCCCTGGCAACAGATGAAATGAGGGGTTACCCTGACAAAAACGCTACTGGAGCTCATTTAACAAATCCTGGCTGTTCTTTTTGCAGACAGATAGCTGCAGACGTGACAGTGTACCACCGTGTTAACAGAGTGAAAGCTACGATGGTGTGGCTGAGTCAAACATATCCGTACCTCTTTATTTCCAAACACAGCCCTAGCCGTGCTCGCTGCTCAGGCACATTGCGTTTACGTGAACAACACTGAATTACTGTGACGTCCGTGTCTAGAATTTGCTCCGAGTACATAAAAAGACAAGCTAGCAAGGTTAGTACAAAACATTGATTTATTTTCTTTTTGCCGTATTAAAGTTAAAGACACAACAACACGTTCCAAAGCAAATGCTCCTGGCCCTCTTCCCAGTCGGGGCGGTCACACTGTAAACATAAAACAACTTTGTAGTTAACTTGGCAATTAAAACAATTTGACTTTATACTGGCACAAAAATACACAACAGCCATGGCAGCAGGCATGCACTGCAGAAGGCGGGAGTACACGCAGATATCTTGGGAAACAAACAACAGGGGGGGGGGGGCAATAGTATTTAGACAAGTTCACTTCTGCATTATTGCATTGACACTGAGTAAACTACTATATGGTTGCATATAAACACAGACAACAAAATGACATCACTATATTCATAATCAGTTGTTCCTAAACAATCCCTAAAATAGGTTCACAGAAGTGGAGAGTGGAAAACATCCCCACACACAGAGCTTTTATCTCAGTCATGAGTTTGCACGGCTGACCCCAGACCAGTGTGTTGGGGGTAGTTGCCTTTAAAAGCGGCAGAAGCTGAAGGTGTGGAGTTCTACTCATCTGGCTTCCTTTTGGGCTTCTTTGGGTTGCGGGAGCGGCTCTTGGCCTTGCATAGCGGACAGATGGGAGCGTTACGATGGATCTGCTGGTGGCAGGACAGGCAGGCCTGGAGAGGAAACATCACGCCACATTGGAAGGAATCCACTCACACAAGTTGAACTTCACTGTTTGTGTGGGGCATTTTGGATGCCCCTGGGTGTGCATGTGTGTGCGCTCCTTTTATATCTGGCTGGTGTAGCAGCTGTGTCAGTAAGCACTATTTTTGTTGTTTGGTTTTTAAATGTGTGTCCTTACAGCTGTCCGTTTCATAAAAAGATCCGTTTATGTGTGTCTGTCGTGCATTTAACTTGACGCCGGTCTGTGGGACGTTTAAGTTTATGGGGCATCTGTAAAGTTTATCCTCACAAAATGGTTCTGGTTCTGTGAGCGGGGTATGGCACAGACCCAGGGAGTCGTTTGGCGAAGTCTGAGGTTAGCGTGTCAGGATAAACAGTCAGCATGTGCGTTCGTATTCTGTTAATGAAACGGTTATCAGTGATGTGATCGGAGTAGTCATTTCAGTTATAACTGTACTGTTGTAAGGGAGGGGGTCTGCTTCGTTTCTGCAGCGTTCGCTGCTACGAGTCAGGAATAGAAAACAAAGTTTCACCAGCTGCCAACAATGAGCTTAAACAAAGTGTCACAACTACTTCAGCAACAAACCCGAGAGCAAAGAAAGTCCAACACACCCCAACTACAGTGGGGCAAAAAAGTATTTAGTCAGCCACCGATTGTGCAAGTTCTCCCACTTAAAATGACGACAGAGGTCAGTAATTTACATCATAGGTACACTTCAACTGTGAGAGACAGAATGTGAAAAAAAATCCATGAATTCACATGGCAGGATTTTTAAAGAATGTATTTGTAAATCAGGGTGGAAAATAAGTATTTGGTCAATAACAAAAATTCAACTCAATACTTTGTAGCATAACCTTTGTTGGCAATAACAGAGGTCAAACGATTACTATAGGTCTTTACCAGGTTTGCACACACAGTAGCTGGTATTTTGGCCCATCCCTCCATGCAGATATTCTCGAGAGCAGTGATGTTTTGGGGCTGTCGCCGAGCAACACGGACTTTCAACTCCCTCCACAGATTTTCTATGGGGTTGAGGTCTGGAGACTGGCTAGGCCACTCCAGGACTTTCAAATGCTTCTTACGGAGCCACTCCTTTGTTGCCCGGGCGTTGTGTTTGGGATCATTGTCGTGTTGGAAGACCCAGCCACGTTTCATCTTCAAAGCTCTCACTGATGGAAGGAGGTTTTGGCTCAGAATCTCACGATCCATGGCCCCATTCATTCTGTCCTTAACACGGATCAGTCGTCCTGTCCCCGTAGCAGAAAATCAGCCCCAAAGCATGATGTTCCCACCCCCATGCTTCACAGTAGGTATGGTGTTCTTGGGATGCAACTCAGTATTCTTCTTCCTCCAAACACGACGAGTTGAGTTTATACCAAAAAGTTCTACTTTGGTTTCATCTGACCACATGACATTCTCCCAATCCTCTGCTGTATCATCCATGTGCTCTCTGGCAAACTTCAGACGGGCCTGGACGTGCACTGGCTTCAGCAGCGGAACACGTCTGGCACTGCAGGATTTGATTCCCTGCCGTTGTAGTGTGTTACTGATGGTGACCTTTGTTACTGTGGTCCCAGCTCTCTGCAGGTCATTCACCAGGTCCCCCCGTGTGGTTCTGGGATTCTTGCTCACCGTTCTCATGATCATTTTGACCCCACGGGATGAGATATTGCGTGGAGCCCCAGATCGAGGGAGATTATCAGTGGTCTTGTATGTCTTCCATTTTCTGATAATTGCTCCCACAGTTGATTTTTTCACACCAAGCTGCTTGCCTATTGTAGATTCACTTTTCCCAGTCTGGTGCAGGTCTACAATTCTTTTCCTGGTGTCCTTCGAAATCTCTTTGGTCTTGGCCATAGTGGAGTTAGGAGTCTGACTGTTTGAGGCTGTGGACAGGTGTCTTTTATACAGATAATGAGTTCAAACAGGTGCCATTAATACAGGTAACGAGTGGAGGACAGAAAAGCTTCTTAAAGAAGACGCTACAGGTCTGTGAGAGCCAGAGATTTTCCTTGTTTGAAGTGACCAAATACTTATTTTCCACCCCAATTTACAAATAAATTCTTTAAAAATCCTGCCATGTGAATTCATGGATTTTTTTTTCACATTCTGTCTCTCACAGTTGAAGTGTTCCTATGATGAAAATTACTGACCTCTGTCATCATTTTAAGTGGGAGAACTTGCACAATCGGTGGCTGACCAAATACTTTTTTGCCCCACTGTAAATCCAGCTGTTGGGTGGCTGACCTAAACTTGCCTCAACTCAATTATGTCCAGCTCTAGTCTGAATTCCTTCCTCCTCCACTGCATCTGAGTGGACTTCTAGCCCAGCCCACAGCTTTGGTTTTGTCAGGGAACTCAGATCAGACGTTACTTATCAACTTAGGAGATAAAGTTCTTGATTCGCTCTGATCTGAAAATGAAGTCTCGTTTCTCAGTTTAACAGTAAATGGTTTTATTGGATCCACCTACGATGATCCATCATCGGAGAAGAAAACAACAGGAATCTGCTGAAACCGTAAACAAAACAGAGCTGGCTGACAGTGATCCTCGGCTCACTCAACTCCACAAATCCAGGAGCCGGAAAAACAGGAATGAATGAGTCGTGGAACTGAAGAGCACCGCATTTTCATTTTACCACAACCTCAAAACTTGAGGAATAAAAATGTGCTATTCCACCTTAAATGTGTCTTAATTAAGTCCACTTGGAGGAAGACGTTCCTGCAGCTCAACCTCTAACGTGCACTTAGCAAAATAAAAAGCTGGTTACGCGGCCTTGAGGAGTCACCCTACACACACCAAACGAAACCAAACTCGCCTGTACCGACTTAACGTTTTCATGCAACTGCACCTTCAGAATGCACTTCTATTGTCGTTTGCAGGCGTGCACAAATGCACAGATAAATAGCACCGGTCACATGCGCTAACCAAACATGCGTGTCTGTCATCTATTGTTTCTGCAAACACAAAATGTGTGAAAGCATTTTTCGGAGAATGCATCCCGACATGCCGTAGCAGGCACAAGTGTCTCTGTGAAGGCTGCATTCCATTTAGGGGAAGGTTCTCCTGCGCATGCTGGTTCATTGTTAAAGATGCTTCGAGAGGAACCAGGTCTGTGACAAGTCACACCGCTTAAAACCTCTGGGTCTCACCAAGTGGTGACTGAAGGTACTTAGAAATAAGAAATGAAGATATTCCATCAACTAAAAGCATTCCTGGGATTAAATGGATGAAAACCAATTAATTGAATCAAAAGTCAGCTTTAATCTAGAATTAAGAGATAATTTAGTAAGTTTACTAAACGTCTTTTGCTAATTCCGCAAGTGTAGTCGGCCAAATGCACGTCATCAGGAGTGGCATGACTGATGAAAGATGGTTTCAACTGTTCCTGAGATTCTGACAGGATCCTCATCTCTGAGCCAGCACCAGTTAGGATTTATTTAGCTCCATGTTTACCAGTTCAACCCACCAGGACGTCCCTCTGACCATTTATTTAGAGAACATAAGACGTAAGGTTGGTCCCATGGTGTGATGGAACCATAAACTTATTATTTATTAATACTAGGGCTGGGCAGCATGGACTTATGTCTCCATATTCCTGATGTGTCCAAATTTTATTACTAGAGACGAGGGACAAAACCACCAAGTTGAAAGAACAAGTGAGCCCCTAAAAAGCCCCTGAAGAGGTGATTTCATATGATTACTTGTTGAAGAATTTACTACACGTGCGACATTTAGGGTTCTTCTCTGTAGAAAAGGATCTGTAAACGTTTGTAGCGACGAGACATAAAAGGATCTCATCTTTACAAAATAAAAGCATCAGACTCCCTGGATCTGCTGGGTGCTTTTTTAGTTTCTTGCTTTCAAATAGAATAAAATAAATACAATTCTCAGCATGTCTAATCATAACTGCTTTATAGTGAAAGTGAGTGTTTATGGTTCTGTTCGCCTTGAAATTTCCTTTAATTTAACATGATTAGTAAAAGACAAATTAACTTATCTATTTATCTTTAACTAAGAAACAATCTGTGGTGGTGAGACGAGATTACAGCCAAGGGCCAAAAATGGCCCTAGGACCACACTTTGGACACACCCGTATGTAAAGGTGATGACTCGTAGCTACCTTAACTTTAAAAGTGACATGTTTGTGTTTGATCAGCTGTGGCGGCCATCTTTAATTAGACTAGGGCTGCACAATATATCGAAAAATTATCGTCATCGGAATAACAGGACGTGTGATAGGCCCATCGCAAAACACGGCAACAACGGCGATAAATGTTTGGTTCAAACATTTCCATCCGTGTCATACATCAACTTTCTGTAAACCAGCTCTGTTTTTTACACGGAAGTATTATTTGACCACTCAAATGTAGCCCTTCTGATATGCGGCCAATCAGATGGGTCCATTTACGTAATACGCCCGCCCCCTACGTAGACCCTTAGGATGGAAAGCAACACCCGAACGGAGTTAGCGGCGCCGTTCCCATGTTCGTCACTCTGGCTCAGAGCAACGAGCGCACTTTGTGCTGATGTTTCTGGATTCAGCGCTGCTTTCAAACGTGAACGTGAGTCCGCTCTGTGTCGTTAATCATTTTTACCGGACTGACTCCGACACGTGCCGGTGATTTGTTAGCTTGTTATCAGAATCATAGTTGCAGTTTCATCATCTGAGCTGCTTTTTAAGATCTAGCTAAACTTGTTCAATTTGGGGTTAAAAACAAACGTTTTCACATATTTCCATGTAGTTTTTTGCCAGTTCCTCTTCTGAAAGGTAGACAATTGTTTTTCTCTTTCCCTCAGAAAATCTTCATATTCTCCTAGTTTGGCTCAGCACAGTTCACTTCCCAATTACAGCAACAGCCTTATATCATAACCACATAAGTGGAGAAAATGTTCAGTAGCAATGAGAGAATTTGCTGTTGCATGTAAGTGATGTTAACTATTATTTAACATTTAAACTATTTATTCAAAAAACCTGGTAAGGGATGTTTTTCTGTATTTGGAGCATCAGAAAAAGTTTTATGGTGGAGGTGATGTTTTAAAGTCACTGAGAAACTGCATGCATGCAGTTTGTTGTTTTGCTGCTAATACAGTAGCGGGTGCGGCTGCTAATACAGTAGCGGGTGCGGCTGCTAATACAGTAGCAGGTGCAGCTGCTAATACAGTAGCGGGTGCGGCTGCTAATACAGTAGCGGGTGCGGCTGCTAATACAGTAGCGGGTGCGGCTGCTAATAGAGTAGCGGGTGCGGCTGCTAATACAGTAGCGGGTGCGGCTTCTAATACAGTAGCGGGTGCGGCTTCTAATACAGTAGCGGGTGCGGCTGCTAATACAGTAGCGGGTGCGGCTGCTAATACAGTAGCGGGTGCGGCTGCTAATACAGTAGCGGGTGCGGCTGCTAATAGAGTAGCGGGTGCAGCTGCTAATACAGTAGCGGGTGCGGCTGCTAATAGAGTAGCGGGTGCGGCTGCTAATACAGTAGCGGGTGCGGCTTCTAATACAGTAGCGGGTGCAGCTGCTAGTACAGTAGCGGGTGCGGCTGCTAATACAGTAGCGGGTGCGGCTGCTAATACAGTAGCGGGTGCAGCTGCTAATACAGTAGCGGGTGCGGCTGCTAATAGAGTAGCGGGTGCGGCTGCTAATACAGTAGCGGGTGCGGCTGCTAATACAGTAGCGGGTGCGGCTGCTAATAGGGTAGCGGGTGCGGCTGCTAATACAGTAGCGGGTGCGGCTGCTAATAGAGTAGCGGGTGCGGCTGCTAATACAGTAGCGGGTGCGGCTTCTAATACAGTAGCGGGTGCGGCTTCTAATACAGTAGCGGGTGCAGCTGCTAGTACAGTAGCGGGTGCGGCTGCTAATACAGTAGCGGGTGCGGCTGCTAATACAGTAGCGGGTGCAGCTGCTAATACAGTAGCGGGTGCGGCTGCTAATAGGGTAGCGGGTGCGGCTGCTAATACAGTAGCGGGTGCGGCTGCTAATAGGGTAGCGGGTGCGGCTGCTAATACAGTAGCGGGTGCGGCTGCTAATAGAGTAGCGGGTGCGGCTGCTAATACAGTAGCGGGTGCGGCTTCTAATACAGTAGCGGGTGCGGCTTCTAATACAGTAGCGGGTGCAGCTGCTAATACAGTAGCAGGTGCAGCTGCTAATACAGTAGCAGGTGCAGCTGCTAATACAGTAGCGGGTGCAGCTGCTAATACAGTAGCGGGTGCGGCTGCTAATACAGTAGCGGGTGCGGCTGCTAATACAGTAGCGGGTGCGGCTGCTAATACAGTAGCGGGTGCAGCTGCTAATACAGTAGCGGGTGCGGCTGCTAATAGAGTAGCGGGTGCGGCTGCTAATACAGTAGCGGGTGCGGCTGCTAATAGGGTAGCGGGTGCGGCTGCTAATAGGGTAGCGGGTGCGGCTGCTAATACAGTAGCGGGTGCGGCTGCTAATAGAGTAGCGGGTGCGGCTGCTAATACAGTAGCGGGTGCAGCTGCTAATACAGTAGCGGGTGCGGCTGCTAATACAGTAGCGGGTGCGGCTGCTAATAGAGTAGCGGGTGCAGCTGCTAATACAGTAGCGGGTGCGGCTGCTAATAGAGTAGCGGGTGCGGCTGCTAATACAGTAGCGGGTGCGGCTTCTAATACAGTAGCGGGTGCGGCTTCTAATACAGTAGCGGGTGCGGCTTCTAATACAGTAGCGGGTGCAGCTGCTAATAGAGTAGCGGGTGCGGCTGCTAATACAGTAGCGGGTGCGGCTTCTAATACAGTAGCGGGTGCGGCTTCTAATACAGTAGCGGGTGCAGCTGCTAGTACAGTAGCGGGTGCGGCTGCTAATACAGTAGCGGGTGCGGCTGCTAATACAGTAGCGGGTGCAGCTGCTAATACAGTAGCGGGTGCGGCTGCTAATAGGGTAGCGGGTGCGGCTGCTAATACAGTAGCGGGTGCGGCTGCTAATAGGGTAGCGGGTGCGGCTGCTAATACAGTAGCGGGTGCGGCTGCTAATAGAGTAGCGGGTGCGGCTGCTAATACAGTAGCGGGTGCAGCTGCTAATACAGTAGCGGGTGCAGCTGCTAATAGGGTAGCGGGTGCGGCTGCTAATACAGTAGCGGGTGCGGCTGCTAATAGAGTAGCGGGTGCGGCTGCTAATACAGTAGCGGGTGCGGCTGCTAATAGGGTAGCGGGTGCGGCTGCTAATACAGTAGCGGGTGTGGCTGCTAATAGAGTAGCGGGTGCGGCTGCTAATACAGTAGCGGGTGCAGCTGCTAATACAGTAGCGGGTGCGGCTGCTAATGCAGTAGCGGGTGCGGCTGCTAATACAGTAGCGGGTGCGGCTGCTAATAGAGTAGCGGGTGCGGCTGCTAATACAGTAGCGGGTGCAGCTGCTAATCCAGTAGCGGGTGCAGCTGCTAATACAGTAGTGGGTGCAGCTGCTAATACAGTAGCGGGTGCAGCTGCTAATACAGTAGCAGGTGCAGCTGCTAATACAGTAGCGGGTGCAGCTGCTAATACAGTAGCAGGTGCGGCTGCTAATCCAGTAGCGGGTGCAGCTGCTAATACAGTAGTGGGTGCAGCTGCTAATACAGTAGTGGGTGCAGCTGCTAATACAGTAGTGGGTGCAGCTGCTAATACAGTAGTGGGTGCAGCTGCTAATACAGTAGCGGGTGCAGCTGCTAATACAGTAGCAGGTGCAGCTGCTAATACAGTAGCAGGTGCAGCTGCTAATACAGTAGCAGGTGCAACTGCTAATACAGTAGCAGGTGCAGCTGCTAATACAGTAGCGGGTGCAGCTGCTAATACAGTAGCAGGTGCAGCTGCTAATACAGTAGCAGGTGCAGCTGCTAATACAGTAGCGGGTGCAGCTGCTAATACAGTAGCGGGTGCAGCTGCTAATACAGTAGCAGGTGCAGCTGCATATTTTTGCAATAAAAATGTTATGTTGTAATGGAATTCATGCATTTGTTTTTGTTTGCTTTGAACCCAGAGCAGACGTCACACGCCAGACGACATCAACACTGCATACTTTAGTATTTGTTCATTTATCGTGAGTAATATCGATATCGCAATATTAAGCACTGTTATCGAATATCGCAGGTTTTCCTAACATCGTGCAGCCCTAGATTAGACTGACTCCGTTACCTTCATAGGTGGAGGCTGCTGTCTGAAGGTGGCCGTCTGCCGGGCGTCCTGCTTCCTGGACACCTGAAGCTGCTGTGCAGCTGCTGCAGCAGCAGCAAGGGATTCTGGGATGGCAGGCTCATGCGGCTCCTTCTGCCACTCTGCCTTCTGCTTCTCGAAGTAACTGTTCAAAACCAAAGGAAGAGAATAAAGCTGTCAGTCGTTTAATGGAGCTCACAAACCTCATTAGAGCCGATTTATCATCATTTAGAACAGATCGTTAAATCAAGAGCAGCAGCGGAGTTCGCTTTGTTTTGGGTTTTTTTCCTAATCTGAGCTAAAGCTCCAAGTCATTACAAGATTGGTGTGTGTGTGTGCGCATGTGTGTGTGTGTGTGCGTGCGTGCGTGTGAGAGCTGGGAAAGAAATGTGGCCTTGGACTTTATGCATGACTGGCCCTTTTTCAAAGATAAAAAGAGTGATATCCCGTTTCATGACCCTCTCTGGTTCCTCTCAGAATAGGTCTGGGTAGAGTCCCGCTTTGAGCGTTCACAGAACAAATTTACTGACATTTCCCGTGAGCACGATCAACCGGCCCGCCAAAACCCGTCTGCATTCCTAACGAGCGAGCAGCCCCTCACTGTACACAGTCAGAGTTTTCTCTGCACCATTCTGGGTTTTAGCTCCACCCCCTACCCAGAGGTGTGGAGTGTTCATTTTTCTACCGATATGTCACTCTAACATCCTGAAACAGACGCAACAGGCCTTCGATGTGTGATTTCATTTTCTTCAGATCTGCTCCATCACACTCCGTCATGCATAGCAGGAGTTTATTATCAGGCACAATAACTCAAGACATGTGCAAATGATGGTTTTAACATGTCCCCTCACAAACCCCTCGGCACTACTGGGAGGGGGCCTACCGAGGGAACGACGCCGCGGCAGTTTTCTAAGTATGTTACATACCCGTGGAATAGTGAGGAGCTCGCCACCAGGACGAAACGGGAAGGGAAGGGCGGACGAGAAGCACCTGGCCAACGATGAACTCATCACCCGAGCCTCTACACAATCGTGTACGGCCAAACGCGGGAGTCAGCCAGCCAACAATGCTGTGAGCTCACAGGGACGCTCTGAGCCAGGCTTCTAATTGCAACTAAAGGGTTTTTTACTCTAGAAGGGAAATAAACGCTCATTTAAAAGGCATGTTCCATCCTAACAGAGATACGTCTCAGTAAAGAAACAGAGCTGCTCCACCTGCAAACTGGGAAACGGGCTAAACGTCCGAGGAGTGTCCAGTACACAAGTTACTGTGGTGTGTTTACACAAACAACCAGAATGTTCTCTGGTGGGGGGGAGCCAACAGTTGGCCTGGAAAAAGTCTACATTTCAGATTTAAATTTACACGAATAAAACCGATCATCTCGCTTTCCAGAATAAAAGCACACTTTTCCAGGTTGGAGGTGAGCAAAACCACGAGACTGGGACCTCCTTTCAGATGAAACCCTTTTTAAAGCCTTCATTAAATCAGCTCCCTGAACGTTTTATTTTGTTTTTCATACATAAGTGAGTTTTTGCCCTTTAGATTTACTACCAACAACTTCTAAACTATCCACATGTCCATTTTGAGGAGAATTATGACATCACCAGCTACAGTCCAAATACACCCTCTGCATGATGATGGTAGACAAACGTCTCCGATGAAAGGTGACTGAACCCGTAAACACACACTTCTCTACAAATGACCAAGATAATGGAATTAACAGTGATCCCGACACTCGGACTGGGAATACCTGAAAACTTGGCTAAGCTTTACTTCCTATATTCCAGCACCATTAACTATGATTCGCTCCAGCAAATTGTACAATCATCCACTGTTGATGGATGTCAGCCTGCAGTTTGTGCTGCTGGAAGCCTACTTGTCAGACCACCCTGATGTACCTCCAATTTTGTGGATAACGCGGATTTTCTGAAGCCTGAAATGGGTTACCATTATTTTTTTGTCAGTTTCTAAAGCCGGAGTCTGGACAAATAGAGGAGGAAGTTTCAATGGGTGTGAATTTCTCAACATGCCGACAGGCTGATCGAGAGAGTATCAGTGATGAAGTCCTCACCAACAGCATTAAAACCAAAGTCTTCCGGTCATTTAGACGGATTAACTTTTCCGACCAACGTCTGGATTTATTGGGATTATAAATGCTTTAAAAATGCTCATAAAAATGTAGAAGATTTATGATGACGTTTTGGCAAATGATTCGAGTTCATTAAGAGAATCCATTGCAACAGGGTCCCATCCCACTGGAGAGCCGTTTCCTTCACCGCAGCCTGGTGTCGGATTTCCTTTCCTGAAGGAACTTACACATTCCGGGTCACATGGAGCACCAGCACATGCTCTTTGAAGGGCATGCATGGAGATGTTTTCCCCACACCAACTTCCACATGAAAAAATAACAAAAGTGTAACATCAGGGTGATGAAAGGGCAGGGAACTACCGTTTGCCCTTGACATTTAAGCGATGTGATCCCAGCTTGTTATTGGATATGCTTCTCCCAGATAGGAGTTCCAGGTTCCTGCCACCTGCAGAGCTCTCAGCTGCTCCCCTCCTCCACCGCAACATCCAAGGAGACGTTTTCTCGGACATGTAGAACAAGCCGCTTTGCAGCCGTCTTCCCGTATGCATAAGGGCGCCGCGTTATTGTCCAACCCGCCGTTCCGTCAGACGCATCAACACCACATCAACTGAATTCTTCCTAAGCTTAAGAGTTCTAAAATTAAAAAAGCCAACGGATGAGTTCTGCCTCTCCGATTGAGTCAGAACATTTCAAAGCTGTTCCTGCAAAAGCGTTGCCAAAAGAGTGAGCCACATGTTTTCACACACCCAATTAAGTAATTATGCTTGATTAAACTGGTTGAACTTAATAAAAGCCCATTTTCACTTTCCTCGTCAGGGCTCTTGTGCTGTTAAAATGTCACTGATGTCATAAATCCCAATCTGATGAGTAATAGATGCTATGAGTTGAGGCCTGTTGTCGTCTCTCCCAGGCCAGAGTTCTGCGTACTGTTCAACGCAGAGCGGTGCCTCGCTTTGTGAAAACCAGGAGGAACATCAGCGAAAAGGGTTTGTTTTCAGCGCCAGGAGGAGAAGACAACCTCAAAAACAGGTGGATGTAGAGTAACCTTAAAACGCTGACCCGGCAGCCCAGCCGCTGCACTTTGCAGCGTTTCATTTGAGCTTTTTGGATTCCAGTTTTAATGTCCCTTCGTACTCCTTCATGCATCAGATGCTGTTCTGTAGCGGCGTGCCAACGCGCACTAAGTTCGTCACTAAAACTATTTTGTGCTAGTAACTTTAGAATCGCGTGACAAAATGAGATTTAATGTCGTCGTCCGAGGAATACCTCGGCAGGGGTTGTCGGTTCAAAGCTTCAGGACACGGGGGCGAGCCCTCTGAAATGTCATCAACCGCAAATGTTCGCAGTAAACCCAGGAAAGGATCACTGTGGGTGTGTGTGTGTGTGTGTGTGTGTGTGTGTGTGTGTGAGAGAGTGTGTGTGTGTGTGTTCTTGTACATACTACATACTGAAGACCATTTTGACCTAAAAAGTGAGGACATTTATTTGGTCCTCACCTTTTTTAGAAGCTTACTAGACCAACTAGACCAGTTAGAGGTGCAGTTTGGATTAAGTGTTAGTCAGGGTTAGGAATAGATCAGCGTTGGGGTATGGGTTAGGCATGGTGAAGTCACAAAAATGAATGGAAGTCAATGGAGGGTCCTCACTACGATAGAAAGAGGTGTGTATGTGTGTGTGCATACTGGTCTATACATCAAAGTGAGGACATTTTGCTACCAATGTCCTAACTCTGGTACGTTCCAGAGCTCTACTCGTTAGTTTAAGAGGTCTGGTGTGAATTAAGTGCTAGTTAAGGTTAGGGTTAGTAGTAGGCTGGTTAGGGTTAGGCACAGTCCAGTCACTAAAATGAATGGAAGTCAACGACGGTCCTCACAACGAATGCTAGACTAGAGTGTGTGTGTACTGACTCCAAGGAGAGCTTCTCCTCCTCCTCGTTGAGGTTGGGGAGTCTGTGCAGACCCAGGGTCATCCTGAGGGCGTCGACGTGCTCCTTCAGCGGTTTGTACTCGTCGTGAAGACGCCGGGTCGTTTCCAGCAGCTTGTTCAGGTCGTTTTCGGACTGTTTGATGGTGCTCTCCATCTGGAAGGACGAGGTTTGACGAACAGGTGTAAACATGTTCACCAGCCACAACAATAACATCTTCACAGAGAAAATACTGCAGGCACATGGCCTGCTTTATTTATTAAGAGTGGTTGGGATATCTGGAGGTTAGACTGCTTTTTCAGTCTCACGTAGCTTTAGTGGATGTCTGTCTCAGACGGACAGGATCATCAACCAGAACACCGTCCCTCAGTTTCCACTGTAACACCAAATCTACCCTAAAGCCAGGTGGGTTTTTTATACATCCCTGTTCCATTGCCTTTAGATTTCAGCTCCAAATGATCAGTTATTAAATCATTTGACACTTTTTGTTGTGTTTTGGGTTAGGGTCTGGTAATTTTACTGCAATTTTGTTTAAAATATTTGATGAAAACTCAGAAAAGCTGTTAAACTTGCATTTTTTAAAGTGGGTCTATTTATATTCATAAAATCATTCGACGGTTTAAAATAAATTTAACTGAAGTTATTCAGAGCCACTGATGGTCCAAAAGCCCGAGTTAAGCTGTGGTAACTGGAGAGGAACGGTAAAATAGTATGAACGCTTGTTGAATTAAAATGGATTATTTATAGTTCATGAAATATATGATGATGATAATAATAATAATAATTTATGTATATTTAAACAGAGATTTTAGAGCTAAAAGGCAGAAAAGACGGTTTTTTTTTTCTAACTATCTCGTTGAGATGGAATTTTACGTTGTCCCACGCCGAGTAGTCTCTGTCCCACATTTAGCAAGTCTGGTCACCATAGTGGAAGCCCTCTAGACTGGAAGACACGAACGTAGATCAAATGGTATTATGGGAAAGACCTGCTAATCAGTGGCAAAAAAAGGAAAGAAGTCATTTTAACTTGAAATGTAAACAATGAAAGAGCAACTAGTAGAGAAGGGTAAGGAGGATGCTAGGAGAGCTCGCAGCATCCTCCACAACACTGTCATAGATCACAGGTCCACTCCAAATTGTTAAAATGCAGGAAAAGTAAAGATGTTGCTGTAATATTTATTTTCTACCTAAACGTTTGCCTTGGATAAATAGTGAGAGTGCACAATGAAAGATGTATGGCTCTGTGGCTTTCAATTGAATAAATCCTTTCAGATATTCCAGGAATGCAACTCAACAAGTTTCTAGACTGAATGAGTGATCGAGTTCAATATTCATCAAATTCACAGAGTCTTGTTTTTAGAGCCGATTCAGAGGGGTTAGTATGTGTCATACGATTTATGTCAAACCGCCATCATACTTTTATTTCTCTTGACTAACTTGAAAGCCATGGTTCTGAAAGCGAAAACTCCCAAACGGATGTTTGTCTTTCTGAACTGAATCTCAGTTCAGTACAAACCCTCTAGTACCACAAAAGTTAACACGGACTCTTTTCAGAGCCGACTGACAAACATTTCAACCACATATAGGAAGGTTTAGAATCTAAATTACGAGATCCAAGAACCAGATGTTTTCCTTTCATGGATAAAAGGCATCCTGAATTTAACCAAAGTTTAGATTCTGGGAATCCTCCCCAGTCTGGTTGTGCCAAATGCCTCTTCAGAGCTGAACCAACTTACGACATTAATATCTGCATGGATGAGGCGCAGCTCCTCCACATGTGCCATTTTCTCCTGCAGAAGGAGATCCATTTCTTGTTTATACTCCTTCAGATGTTTCTCTTCAGATTCCAGAGCCTCAAACTCCATCTTCAGACGAGACTTGATCTTCTGCATCTGGATCGTCTTATTCCTGCATCCCATGGCAAACACAACAAATACCAGCTGTCAAATTCCGTCCCACACTTTTCCCATACCCCCCACCCACCCCCACCCCAAGAGGAATAAAATATCTTCTAAACAAAACAGACTTCAATTGGAAACAGTGTAAATGAACGACTGTTGTACTTTCAATGAAAGCTCCCTGTAATGTAGCATGCCAGCTGTTTAACAGGAATGAACTCACATCTCCATCCCAGCTAGGTAAGTTAAAGACAACCTATCAAGCTAAGTAGCTAGCTTGTAACAATTAGCAGCGCACATCTGGCTTTTATTGTGACACATCTGGGATGTTGATGCATTGCATTATCCAAAAAATGCCCTTAAAACGACAACTTGTGCGTATGTTGTGCCGTAATCACGCCGCCTGCCAAACCTGTCAGTGACAAGCTAATGGAAAAGCGAAGCAGCACTCTGCTTTTAAACGCAAGACAGCGGCTAATGTTAGCAGGATCTGTAACAAAAGCGAAGCCAAAGGGTCTTTTCCTGCACAGCTAACGTTAGCTAACCTAATGCTACACTTGCCAAACATCTGGAAAACATTCATTCGACTCTACATCCAGGCTTTACCGTATTTCCAGGATATTCTCCAACTTGCACATGATTTCTTGTTCGTCCGCCATGGTTCTTCAGCCCCCTTGTTGTTGTTGTTCAGCTAACCGGCTCCGTTACCCAGCAAGGAAGGCCACGGTGGTCCCCGGTTAATAAAAAAAATCACACACAATAGCCCGCGAGAGCGCGCGCAGAAGCACGCGCCCGCCAACAAGTGAAACCTGGCCGCTAGGGACGAGCTGAACCACAACACCCCTGCTTCTCGTTAGCTTAAATATAAAGTATCCGCTTCCTTCCTTCCTTTACAACCGTCTGTGAGGCTAACTGTACACGGTTACCACTGCAAGCGTGTGGGTACACGGAGAGGCAAAAGTCAAGAGATAGAAACGAAAATGTGGTTTAAGCTAAGACTGAACTGAGTGTTCCTGTTAAGTAAAACAGGATATTACAATACAAATATAAATTCCCATCAGCAAATTATGCAGTCTACATTGAGTTTAGATTATATTGATATAAAGATTCTCAAGAGACACACCTGAAAAGAGTAGGCCACCCTAGTCCCACCTTGTTTTTATTATTTCCCTGCCCCAACAAACCTGATAGTTGAATGACCTGTTCAGCAACTCATTGCGTTCTGCAAGAGACGGACAATCCTGCAGATTAAAATCAGGTAAACTGAAGTAGACACCTCTAACACTTGTTTTAGGGACAAAAACACACACTAAATTGGTTTAATGAGCATCGTATTTCCAAACATGTATGTTTGGGTTCAGATCACAAGTGTGCTGAATCTCCTAATTGTAGACATTTTTCTAAAAGCTGCTGACAGACAGAATCGTCTGCAGACGTGTTAGGTCTGTAGGCAAACTGCAGGGGGTCTAATTGGGGGTCTGTGATCGATTTGAGATCACTCAAAGGACTGCAGACATCAGGGCAACAAGTTTGAGCTTGGTTTATGCTTGATGCGTCGGCAATATCCGCACGGCCAAATTACGTTATTTCAGCAACCACCGCATGGCCCAGAGTTTCCACACCGTGCACCTGGGACCCCTACTTCACTCTAGAAGTGGCAGCGGAATGTCACTGCTTCAAATGGAATCCATTATGTCACAGGTGCGCAGGTGAGTGAAGTGGAGGTGAGGATCCAAACGCGGGGAAGAAGGCAGGCAGGCAGGAACGTTTAGAGGGTTTTTAATAAGGAACACACGGGACATGCAAACAATGGACAGACAAGGAACACAGAACTGGGAGGGTTTAAATACACAAGGAGCTGGGATCTACACTGGGAGAGGAGAGGCGGGGGGGGGGGGGGGGGGGGGGGGCAATCAGGAGAGACACAGGACTGAGCAGAGTGGGGAGACAGGACAGGTCCACCATCAGCGTCAGGAAGTTAGCAGCCGCAATCGAATGATAAATGACCCGCACTTGTATAGCGCATTTCAGAGTAAGGACTTCAAAGCGCTTCACACTGCAGTGTATCATTCATCCATTCACACACTGATGGTGATGAGTTACGATGTAGCCACAGATGCCCTGGGGCACACTAACAGAGGCGAGGCTGCCGAGCACAGGTGCCACCGGTGGATTAAGTGTCTTGCCCAAGGACCCAACAGCAGAATTCTCTGTCCGGAGCCGGGATCGAACCTGCAACCTTCCGATTACTGAACAACCCGCTCAACCTGTTGAGCTACTGCTGCCCGGAAGTGTCAGCAGCAAGGTAAAAAAGAAACATTTTCTGTATTTTTAAAAAGAACCAACAATGCAGTTGGAAAAGCAACACAGTAAGAACATACCAGAGATGATGTTGTGACTATCGCGCAACTTTCCAAGAAACATTCAGCGGCGCTCAGCAGTGCTGTGTGACCGATCGACTTCCCAAAACCGCGGCGTGGCTCATCTGTCTTCTGTGTGCTCCAGACTTAACTCATGATTCATGAAATTTGAACATCTTGCCTTTGACTGGCTAACAGCAACGACACCCTTCCACTGCTACTTTTCACTCTGCAACATTGATGTTATATCTCCTCAAATAACACAAGCCTGAACATGTTCTGCCATGTTTTGGCATAGCTATTGCTAATAGTTAGCTTCTGCAAGCTAAGACCTGCTTTTCTCTCTCCTGAATCCATACAGCCTTCTCCAGTCGCAAGCCAAATGAATAAGTGCATGAATGCAAATTTACAAACTGACGTTGATTTGTTTTGCTTTCCTTACCCAAGCGTGTCCCCATCCATTTTCTTTTGGTGGATAATGCAGGAAATAGGAGTCGAATTTTATTTTCACATTCTGCATGCATGTGAATCTTGGAGTGACCAATTGTGTTTATAAAAAAACAAGTATTACATATTTTTCCTGTGAAATAACAATACTTCACTGTTCAATTTCTGTTTGTTGCAGCCTATTAACAGCTAAGAGTCATCTTCAACACTAATCCACGTGCTACACATTGTGCCGAATACGAAGTTAGACAGTTGTGTAAAGATATGGTCACCTGAAGGCGTCAACATACATGATGGAGCCAAAAAAGTTTATGTATTGAAGGAAAAACAAATTGGTTTGGCATGGTGGGACTTGACTTAGCGCAGCAAACTAGACTTGACCTTAATCAGTGCAGTTTTCAATATCTATGTTTAGAGCTTTGTAAACCATTCAGGGACAACCAGCTCAGTTGTCAGTGATGGCAGTAAAAACTGGTAAGTGGACTGGTGGAGTGCTGCAGCTGGCCAGGTGATAGGGAGGCTTTCAGAATAAAATTCATATTAAAGTAATCAGGAATTTATTCATCATGTACCAACGGTAATGCAAGCACTTTTACAACTTTTCCTGCAGATTTCAATATTCTGTATGAATGTAACAACTTTTATAGAATCACTGATGATAAAAATAAAGGTAAGAAACCTGAAAATCCCTGTAAAACATACCGATCATATGAAGCATGGTTGGGGGTGCCCTTGTTGTGGTTCAAGATTTCCTTTTTCTTTGTTTTGTCTGTTTTTATTTCCAAGATGCCCCTCATTGGAAAGCATATAAATCTGTTGGCTGTCATTCTTAATCTCAGCCTGATTAATCTGCTGCTTATTTTACGTTACACATCATGACATGAAGACTTATTACATTGCCATTAGCTGCTGCACACAACACCTTGGCTGCGCCTAGAAATCCTGTCCATAAAAGTTATTAACAGAATTGGTGACAAAGGGCAGCCTTATCGGAGTCCAACTCTCACTGGAAATGAGCCCAATTTACAGCTGGTTATGCATACCAAGCTCTGACACCGGGATCTAACAGCCCGTATCAGAGGGCCTGGTGCCCCATACTCTGGAAGTACCCCCCACAGGACCCGGTCTAACGCTATCTTCCAGTCCACAAAAGGCATGTAGATTGGTTGGGTGAACTAGCTATATTCACTAGATCTTCATTTAAAATCCTGTTTCATTCAATATTTATGTCTACAAAAGTAAAAATTGTGGAATAATCTGCGTACATTACAATAGTGCCGTGATTTAAAATGAAAGGTAAGTCAGTGATAAATATGGAAAATAACAATGGTCCAAAGGCACTTCCTTGTGGCATCCCACAACTTGGGCCTGCTTATCCAGAAAAATGTCCATCAAAATATACTGTCCTTAAAAAAGCTTTATATCCATGTACCTGTAGTTGATTCAAAGCCATAGCACTGTAACTTATCCAGTAGCACATTGTGATCCAGTTCATCAAAAGCAGCACATAAATCTAAGTGCACTGCACCAACAACTTTTTACTATATATTTCCGTCATCCAATCATCAGTCATTTGCGCACAAGCAGCAGCTGTGCAGTGCCCTTTTCTTTATACATGTTGATATGCTGAATTCAGTCCTTTTGTACAAAGATATTCTTGAATCTGTTCATATATTACTTGCTCCGTCATTTTACCTAGAGCTGGTAATAGGTATTTTTTCCAGAAAGTGGTTCTTTGGTGTTGGTATTATTTTAGCTATTTTCCTTTCCAAAGGGCAAACATCTTTTCTTAAATTTTAATTAATAATATGAGCTACAGGTACTGTAATGAAATCAGCTTTAACAGCTTCATCTCCAATTCATCAGCTCCTGGAGATTTTTCTTTAGTAACTTTATACAATTTTAATATTTTACCTACATCAATAGTCACTAAAGGAAAGGTACATGTCTTATTACTCATAATTTTCTCTTTTCTTAATTTACCAAATAATCCTTTTATTAATTAAATAAATGAAAATTGTTTGGTTATTTGGTTTTGCACAACTGACTCACACTTATTTTGTCTTCGAATAGGTTTTCAACCAGAAAGTTTAATTCAGATTAACACTTTAATCAATTAAGTTTACTATTTTACATTAGTTGTTAGGCTGAAAGCGCAATCAACAGGGCTATAGATGCATCTAAAGCCACATATTTAAGTGAATTAAAAACATGTTCAGCTCCTTTTACATTCCATCTGATACCAGGCTGAAGATTATAGGACTAAATCCTGGAAACAGTAATATCTCATCAGGTACAGGTGCTGGCCATAAAATTAGAATCATTACAAAGTTGATTTATTTCAGTAAGTCCATTCAAAAGTGAAACTTGCATATTAGATGCATTTATTACACACAGACAGATATATTTCAAATGTTTATTTCTTTAATTATGATGATTATATCTGACAACTAATGAAAATTCCAAATTCAGCATCTCAGAAAATTAGAATATTAATTAAGACCAATGCAAAAAAGGATTTTTAGAAATGTTGGCCATCTGTAAAGTATGAACATGAAAAGCATGAGCATGTACAGCACTCAATATTTAGTTGGGGCTCCTTTGGTCTGGATTACTGCAGCAATGCAGCATGGCATGGAGTCCATCAGTCTGTGGCACTGCTCAGGTGTTATGAGAGCCCATGCTGCTCTGATAGTGGCCTTCAGCTCTTCTGAATTGTTGGGTCTGGCATATTGCATCTTCCTCTTCACAATACCCCATAGGATACCCCATAGATTTCTATGGGGTATCCTACCAAGAACAGAGATACCACGGTTCTTAAGGTACTGGGGCCTCATTTATCAAGCTTGCTTACGCACAAAACGGGTTCGGAAAACTCCCAAAGCAACTTTCCACACAAACGTTGGGATTTATGAAAGAAAACGTAGCAGAAAAATGTGCGTAACTTTAAGCTGACTAAGGACCTGGCTTACACACATTTTGGACATGGAGAGCACCTGCAGTGCTGCTGCTGAGAAGATACAATTATGAAATCCTGCAGCATTATCACATGTACTGCTTCGTTTTCACACAGAACAAGGCCCCCCACATGCACACACGCGTGCGCGTACACTCG